CTGGGTCTGTCCTCGCTCCTCATCTTCAGCAGCAAATCATACCATTTGTTCCTGAACATGACCAAGTTCTTGTCGCCAGGAAAGTCAAGGTTGAATAGATGCTCGATGTGGTAGACAAGTTCCGTTCTATCGGAAGTTCTGAATGATTGCATAACTAATGCCACCAACTCTCGTCCCTTCACGATCACCCCTTGTTGATGTCGTAGTTCAGAGTGTCGTGTAGCATCGAGGTATACGTCCTTGGCTTCGTCAGGTGCTTGTTTCAGCTTGTTCTGCATGCCCATGGCCATCTTAATATCTATCGTAGCAAATCTGTCGCCACCTGAATCGCTAAGCAAATCCAGGTCTGGGTTCAACCCAAGAGCCTGCTCCCGCCATTTCGTCCATGCGTCGGTATCTGGATCTGCACATGCGCTCAGAACATTCATCAGCAGTTGCATCTTCCAGGTGTCAAGTTGATGGATCTTTGGCCAGGCCGGAATAGATACTCTCTCGGCCTCTTTCCTCGAGATTCTCGGTCGGTCAGTCTTGATCTCTCGGTTATCTCTCGATCTCCTTCGTCTCCTCCGTGTCCGATCGTCTTCTTCCTCTTCTTCTTCCTCGTCTTCCTCATCTCCTTCGTCGTCGTCATCCTCATCCTCATCATCGGGTGGATCATCCGGAGGTCCTCCTCCGCCACCAGCGAGGCTCATCTGACGTCGACCCGCTCCCTGCCCATTCCCATTGGGCGGGAATCCACCGTAATCCAATGGGGGCGTAGTACCGTTGTTTCCCCCCCCATCACCACCACCAGTCGTAGTAGTGGATTGTGGGACATGCCCAACAACCCCTTGCATCTGGGATAGGTGTACATCGATCATTGGATCACCGAAAGACGGAAAGAGGATCGAACCTGGCATCAGCGACGAATTAGGGATTTGATTTGAAGACGATGACGGGACTGACCCAGCCACTTTCTTGTCTATCCTATTTGAATTAGCCTGGGTTCCTCCCTCAGCGCGTTTCACTACTGCTCGTTCACGATGTCCATCCTTGCTGCTGGAGGCTTCCTGTGTCTCCAGCTTCTTGTGTGCACGTAGTTCCTCGTTGTCAGCATCGAGTTGGCGTACAAAACTCTCTTCTTGCTTGAGCGTCGCCTCTCTTTCTTTCAGTTGTCTCTGAAGCTCATGCATCTCCTCGAGGTCCTCATCGTACATTCCCTTAGCTGTCAATCTCCAGTACTCAGCCTCCTTCGACTTCTCGTCCATCGTGCACCGTTCCTCTTGTTTCTCTTCTTTGACCTGGGCTAACTCCAAGATCGCATCCTGACGATGACCACCTTCGACAGCAATCATCTGGTCCTTCATCGACACGTCGGATTCATACTGTTTGACGATCTCTTTCTTTTCGCGAAGCAAGCAATCTGCTCTCTTCGACTCTTGTTCCGCAAATACTGTAACGTCATTCAGTCTCGCCATCAGCTGTTCCCTGGAGTCCTCCAAAGAGTACGTCTCGGGGCGCTTGACGAGTGCGTGCTCCAACTGTGATTTCAGACTTTGGACCATCTCCTCCTCGTTGAACTTCTCGATTGATGTAGAAGATTCTATGCCTCTGATCTGTTGCTGATAAGCTGATATCTGTTGTGAAGCCTCACGGTGTATTTGATTTGCACGTATAGCTGATTCCTGCGCGGCCGACTTCTCGCTTGCCATGTAGGATTTCATCAATGCGATCTCCCGCTTCTGCTCCATGATAGTTCCTTCAGCTTGCCTCATCTGTTGCATTATAATATTCGACTCCATGTCTTTCTTCTCCCCGTACTGAAATGCGTTCTTTTCCACCTTGCGCATCTGTTGGGCTTCTTCCTCAAACTTGCGCCATGCCTCAGCCATGTGGTGTTGGTGGTGACTCACTAGATGTCCCGACTGCTTGCTGGCAATCTCGCATCGTCTTTCCAGCTCCTGGATCCGGATGGTGCTTCCATAATCTTCCTGATGAAGATTCGCCATAGCTGCCGACATTTCATCAAGTGTCTTTTGATATTCCCCGATCTCCACCTCCATCTTATTCGTCTCTTTGATCGCGGCGCGAAACTCCGCACTGGTGGGTGATTTTGACCTCCCACCCTTCGATGTCGATCTCACGCCCTTCTGCGACGTCCGTGGTGTCGCAGGCGAAGATGATGATCTTCTCGGTGGGGATTCTCTTTTCTTCGACTCCTGATGAACATCGATCTGCTTCCATGATCTTGTTGGAGTAGATATGTCGCTGAATAGCGCGGAACCTCCGCTCCCAGGTTCATCCTGTGAATCCGCAACCATATCCATCACCGCAGGAAGAGCCATCAATCCATTGGATCCCTCTGAGCTGCTGTTCCCAAAAGTTGCAGTACTTGGGCTCGCAGAAGACGCAATTGTACTGTGTAGGTTATCGTTCCTTTATTGTCCCTGTACCCGCAATAAACCAGCTGTCTCCCAGTCCAGTGTAGAGCTTGTAGATACGGCTGATAACCTGTCAAGAGACGGCAAGATGACGTCCCGTGGGACGCTATGCACCGAACCCTCAAGCTGTAATACCAACCACGTAGAAAGGTGTATACGGACGATGCCGTTATAGCCGAACCGTGTAAACGTTGTAAGGGAGAAGGAATGATAGTTACAACAGTAGTCCTGACAAATGCAGCGCAAGCGAAGTGTTTTCGCTCTCAATGCCGATCACGTATGTATGCAGTCACACATCAGATCTTGAACCTCAATTGTGTCTTGAGCCAAATGGCGATCAATGGAACTTGGGAAGCAACACCAACAAGGACCTCAGAACAGCTACCCAATTTCGGCACGGGGCCTAGAGGGTTTTAACAGAAAGACTGGACGGGGGAGAAGGCGTGACATGCTCAAGTCAGCACGGGCAGCGTTGCCAGTGCTTGAAAACCAAAAGATCAATCAGTTTCAACGGCAAGTCTGGCAATGCTTGATTACTTAGGTTGCATGTAAGAAAATCCAAACCTGCGGATGGGGAGACGACACCCTCAAATTGCCAACTCAAAAGCGATCATACCGGGTTCCGACTGTTGTTTCAAATTGAAAACTCAAAGAGCACAATGCGCTTTTGGGTCACTCTTGTCTGACATGCGAAGAGGCCTTTCCCACTCATAACGGGCTGTCCTCAGGTCACTGACTAAAAGTCCGACTTTTAGCGGGTCGAATGGAAATCCCGATATCCCCACTAAACCCCAAAGCCCTCAAAGCCTGAAAAGCTCAGGAAGCGCAAGAAAAGAATGGTCACGGGGCTGTGATGCTTTCAAGGTGCTTTGCGCAAACTGGTCTGTGCAAGTTGCTCTGCGCAAGTTGCTCTGTGCAAGTTGCTCTGTGCAAGTTGCTCTGTGCAAGCTGCTCTGCGCAAGTTGCTCTGCAAGTTGCTCTGCGCAAGTTGCTTTGCGCAAGTTGCTCTGTGCAAGAAGCACTGTGCAACTGACTCTGTGCAAATGTCTCTGTACAAGTTGCTCTGTGCAAGTTGTTCTGTGCAAGTTGCTCTGCGCAAGTTGCTCTGCGCAAGTTGCTCTGTCAAAGTTGCTCTGCGCAAATTGCTCTGCGCAAGCTGCTCTGTGCAAGTTGGTCTGTGCAAGTTGCTCTGCGCAAGTTGCTCCGTGCAAGTTGGCCGTGCAAGTTGCTCCCTGCAAGTTGCTCTGTGCAAGCTGCTGCGCGCAAGTTGCTCTGTGCAAGTTGCTCTGCGTAAGTTGCTCTGCGCAAGTTGCTCTAGGCAAGGCGCTCTGCGCAAGCTGGTCTGTGCAAGTTGCTCTGCGCAAAATGGTCTGTGCAACTTGCTCTGCGCAAGTTGCTCTGCGCAAGTTGCTTTATGCAAGTTGCTCCGTGCAGCTTGCGAAGCCCGCCCGCGGACCAGGGGGGAATCGAACCCGCGACCCGCCGGTCCCGGGAGCAGGCGCGCGAACCACGAGGCAACTCGCGAGGACCAGTTCGAATCAAAAAACCTTGAGTTTTTGCACTTCGACCACGCAAGTTTTTGCACCTCGACCACGCCGATCCCCGCAGAGGGTCGCGCGAGCGCCGCAGAAATCGTAAAAAACCTCGAGTTTTTGCACCTCGACCACGCCGATCCCCGCAGAGGGTCGCGCGGGCCCAAACAAAATCGAGAAAAAAAAACACCTCGAGTTCTTGCACCTCGACCACGCCGATCCCGCAGAGGGTCGCGCGAGCCAAAACAAAATCGCAAAACAACCTCGAGTTTTTGCACCTCGACCACGCCAATCCCCGCAGAGGGTCGCGCGAGCCAAAACAAAATCGAGAAAAAACAAACTCGAGTTTTTGCACCTCGACCACGCCAATCCCCGCAGAGGGTCGATTTTCGCAGAGTGTCGTCGGCACTACCCCGCCGACCTAAGAAGAGATTTTAACTCCTCATGCGACCTGGAGGCAAATTGCAAGCATATCTAGGGGTCGTTTTGTTGCACCCATGGTTGACTTTCGTTGCAGCAATATTGATTCAAAATTGATCCAAAAACGGCGTCGAGGCGTGTACGCCAACCTGCAGAGCCGCGCCAGGACCGCCCTCTCACACACCAACCTGCCGAACCCCCACACTCCCCCGGGTCCTTGCTATATGTGCTATATGTGCTACACGGTTCTCACACGCTAACCTGCCGAACCCCAACACTCCCCCGGGTCCTTGCTATATGTCCTATATGTGCTATATGGCTCTTACACGCCAACCTGCCGAACCCCCACACTCCCCCGGGTCACTGCTATATGTCTCGCAAGGATTCATTGCAAGGAGTCATTGCAAGGAGTCATTGCAAGGAGTCATTGCAAGGAGTCATGAGAGTCATTGCAAGTTGCAAGGAGCCAAGTGCATGGAGTCAAGTGCAAGTTGCAAGTGCGCGGAGTCAAGTACAAGTTGCAAGTGCAAGGAGTCAAGTGCAAGTCGCAAGTGCATGGAACCGGATGGCTAGGAACCGGATGGCTAGGAACCGCCCCAAGAAACGACCAACATGTCGACCGAGACGCCGTGCCCTTTGCCAAGTCCGATGGCTCCCAGGCGTCCGCAGCCACCAGGCAAAGGCGCTTCATGTCTTGGTACCCCGGGGCCGGCGAGGGGTCCGTGACCACTCGCACCCCGGCCTGGCATAGAGCCCACAAGAACCCCACAGCCTCGAGACTTCGGTTTCGGCTGAACAAAATGGCTCCGGTAGGGTTAGTGGCAAATGTACCCCAAGCAACGCTTAAACCAAAACGAAAGACTCCCTGGCATATAGCCCATAGCCTCGTCTTGGTTTCCCTGCAAACGCGGGGGCGGGAGGGGGGGCAAAACAATTCTGGTAGGCTTAGTGGCAAAATCTATGTTGAGACCGCCCAGCACCGACTTTTTGACGCCCTAAACTTTTAACCAAAAAGAATCCATGATAATCCGATGTGAGTCAAAATCAAAACCCGGTTATAAGATGGTCTGCCCAGAACCGTGCAAAGAATTAAGAAGGCGGATATCCGCAGCTATTTTTGGTTGAGAGCATCCCTTGCTAAGCTTCATCTACCTGGGATTTGATTGTGGCTCAGGTGGTTTTGTTACACAACAAAGAAGCCAACCGGAAACTCCGGTTGCCACACTTCCGCAGCCTGGCCCTCGTCTAAGTCGTCGAAGTCCTGCGGCACATGGGTTGAGGGCTGAGGTCTGGGAACCCCACTGCCCAGAAACCCGGTTACGGCTTGCCTGGAGAACCCTCCCACATACCTTTTGAGCATACCCCAAGCTTGGGCGAAGATCGAGTCTCCGGATGATCACCCCAGCCAAGGCCCAAGATGATAGGATGCCTTGTAAAAAGTGTCCGGGGCCCATGCTGAAAAGGTATGTGGTACGGTTCTGACCTTGTGCCATGCTTGCCTGCGATCATGGGTTGCCCCTAAGCCCTTGGAACCTGAATATGTTGAGACTGTTGACCCCCAAAGATCTCCAATGGTCCAATGGTCGGAAACAATGGTGGAAAACCGGTAGCCCAAGCGATATGCGCAAACTGGCCTATATCTTGCCTATGTTACATCTCTTGAATATTCATAACGCAGGAGACTAGGTCATAGCCCAGTTGACATTCACCCAGACATCTTTTCGGAAACGTCTGCTCCTCTCAGTTGCCCAGTTAACCTTTTGGGATCAATACTAAAATTGGACCAACATGGAAAAACCGAAAGTGAAAAGGTCGGTTTTGATCTGAACTGAGTCCTTGTTGCCCCTCTCGGCATTGACGCTGATGTCTGCCGCGTGCAGGTTATGCAAGTCCGTCCCCGGTCCCGGCTGCGATGTCGACAGACCCCCTTTACCTGAGCCGCCCTAACAAGCTGGCAAGGTTGAAGCGAAAAACAACCTGCAAACAAGCAAGCTGCCAAGAACTTGGTTGACGTTGGGTTTGGGGAGCAAACATTCTCAGGTTTTAGCAGCCAAGTGGTTGGATTTCAACCACTAAACCACAATAATCAAAAATGTAAAATGTTCCCAACGACAACCGAGAGAAGAACACATTTCATTGCCAGGTTTTCAGGGCGCCACCCCCCATGCCCCCCAAACAAATACAACACGCACAACGTGCTACTGGGCAACTGGGGCACTTCTCGGCCACACGTGCTCGCGGTTCCATCCTGCCTGATACCTCAGTAAGCATTCGCTTCGAGGTCGGCTGTGGATCAGCACCCGAAATTACACGATCGAGCCCCAGGACGCTCCTAGGGACCCACGACCCAAAAAACCATCCAACATGCACGCTCTCCAAGCTTGACCTTAAGAAGAGCGAGGTGCTCATGGTCACGGGTTCCTGGCTCTATGACATAGCCAGAGTAGAGCAGGATGATACGACCAGTGCCATCTAAAGCAGCGTCCATGGCAGTGAGCCCATCCCACACGTCCTCTGCGCAGCATATCGACTCTACTGCCCTAGCCATGGAGCGAGTGCAACTCCGAAACATCAACCACCAGAAATGAATCAGGTACCCTGAACGATCAACCTAGCGTCTAGCATATAAGAAAGGATCCCGACACCCTGAATCTGAAGATTCCCCTTACAAATCAAGAGGCGGGTCAATGGCCAATCTTCCCTGGCCCAAGGCTACGTGCAGCATGCGCACCTTTTTCAGGGTTTGGGCTTTATCCAGATCCTCCAGTGGAGAGGTTAGAATAAGTTGGTACCCTTTTCTGTGTACTCAATTTTAGTAGGGTCCCAAACCCTTCCCAAAAACAAAAATGGTAAAAGGGCACGATCCTCACTGGGCCTTCCCATGAGGCCATCAAAAAAAACGCCTGGCCTCTGCCAGAAACTGACGCCCTCCGAAATAAGACAACAAAGAAGCAAGGTTTCTCAGCGGTTTGAATATCCCCCCCGGGTGCCTGCAAACCTTGTGAGGTACTTCAACACCTTTGTACCCCTGAAATTCTGGGGAGCTACTTGGGCCCTTTGGGCTAACCTCTCCCAACGAGAAGCTCGATCAATGATCAATTCACCTAAGGGGAACTGACGTGTTTTTCTTTGGGAACCCTTTTTGGTTGGATTGAAACACATAGGCTCGGGTGATATATGCGGTGCTCGTTTTTAGTGCTCGCACCACCCCACAGCCCTTGCAGAACCCTGTGGAACCCTGGTGGAACCCTGGTGGAACCCTGGTCGAACCCTCGTGGAACCTTGCCTCAGGGCCGCCCCGGACCACCCCGGCGCCTATCTGGGCTGAGACCCCAAAGCTTTCAGCTGTTGGGGAAAAACAAAGGACACCCAGCCTTTCAGAGATCCCCTAATTTTGAGGCAGGCCTCGATCTCTCGTGTCGCGGTCCTTTACATCAGGTCCGTCGGTGTCGACACGCCTGGTATACGCCAGATACTTGGGCTCCGTCATGTGCAGTCGCCTTGGGAAGCCAGAGGAAATTGTCCTAAGTGCCTGTGGCCCCCTCGTCAAGCGGGCGGGCTCTTAATCCCGGGCTTCCATTACCTTGACGAGTTCAACCACCCTTTCCTTGCACTTAGATGTCTTGATACCAAAGCCCAGAACCACCTTGCGGGGTTGTAGTTTCGTTTGATGCGCGCCAAACAAACGAGCAAACGCGGACAGCTGCTGACGCGCGTCTGGCATGTCCAAGCTTCATTTTAGAATTACGTTGCGGTTCTGACTTTCTGGATGTTAAGTTGGCGGCCAATAGCAAGCTAGTGGCTTCCTCAAAGTGTCTTAAATCAGCACCGGGCGATGGTCCTCGTAAGGCGCCCAGACTTTCCGGGGCCCTCATCCCAACTGGGATAGCTTCTTGCAGCCGCTTGGGCACAACCCATGTTGACGCGCAAGGGAAGCCATCAGGCTGCACTTCCTGCATTCCTTTCAGGGATCCTTCTGCTCGGCAAAGTGCCAAACACCTGGCAAATTGGGGAAGCAAGCTATAGGATCGACCCATGGATGGAGCGACCGCCATGCAAAGATCCCCCAAAGGCACTGCCCACTCTGATCGCTCGCAGAAGTACTCAGCCAAAGCCACACATCCATTTCACTCGGTTGCTTTCTGCGCCACTGCTAAAAGTTTAACTTTTAGTGGCTTAATGGATCACCCATGAGTTGGCAAAAAGTTAAAGTCCTAACATCCAACCCAAATGCACCAAAGTTCAGGAAGGGGTGCCGCAACCTTTGCCTTCCATTTGCCCGTGGCGGTAGCAGGTTGCCGGGAACACTGATATAAGACCACCCCATGCACAGTGGCTGGTCGCTAGGACACATACGGAGCAGCGAAAGGGAGAAACCCTTTAGAATCAAACCGCCTCGGATTAAGAAAAAACCTGTCAAAAGATATGGGGGGTGTCCCTGGTTTTAGTGGGGGTTCTTTACTTTTGCAGGGGAACACCCCCATATCAATAAACAGGGGTTTGTTGATCCGGGGTCAACACTACCAGCTGGGTCATACCAAGGCCTGGCACCGCATCAACAGATGCGGAAACAGCAGGGAAACGGCAAATCCGCTTGAAGAAAGCCCAAAGGGGCAAACAGAAAAGAAAAAGGTCAGTTGAGCCTGGCAATGTTTACATTTACGAATGACCCTGCGCAAATCCAACTGCAACACATTCCCAGTTGGACTTGGGCATACCAAATCCAGGGACTCGTTCAACTGATCGTTTCAGCATCTTCCCCTGCCTATGTTAGGCACTTGCTGTCACTGACCCTTGTTGGCTTTCCGGAAATAAAGGCCCCCTCTATTTCAGATTGGCGCGTTCAGACCTTTTGGAATATGCGTTCCACGCCTTCAAAAGAACGACTACATGTTTTCGAGGAGGACCATGCGCGTGCAGTGTTTCGGCGCTGTCTCTGGCGGGCAGCGAGTTGTTGATTGTCGGCGGAAATTTCTGCCGCCAGGGCCTTTCGGTAGCAAGTTCTGCTGCCGAAGGGTCCAGGTATGGTTTATACGGCATGCCCTCCACTAACCAGCCCCCTTTAGGGTCCAAAACGGCGACAAGCCTGGCCCGGAACTAAGGCCAGCACCGCACTACCGCCGGAGTCAGTTCCTCCTCCAGAGAATAAGAAGGTGACAGCGAGACGTGGGTGCACGGGCAAACCCCCATGGCACCCGCTTGCCTTCTGTTCGCGCAGAGTCTGCCAACGAGCCACTCTCCTCGCTTGATTGCCCTTGACTCAATTTCTTTGAGCCGGGAAATGCCGTCGGTCATTGACGTGACTTCCATTCAGGAAAGCCAGGGCATCTTATCCACCTCGACACCAGCAAAAATAGCGGTATCCTTTTTGGGCTCATGGGACAGGCTTCGTGGATTGCCCACAGCGGCAGTTTATCAGGGGACCAAACGCAACACCACCCATTTTGGGAACCTCCCTAACATATGTTTCAACAATTGGACAACACCGAACAAAACGGAGCCCCGGTAAACGGCCTCATCCACATTAAAGATGAGCTTGCACAAAGGGCAAATCAAGGTCCCAGCATTCCTCGGTGAGTTTGTTTTGAACCCCGTGCTTCGAAGCAAAAGGTCACCGGAGGCCATTCACAAAATCAAACAGGAATTCTAACTTATAAGCAACCAACCCAGGTTTTTGTTGGGTTGGAGGGAAGACCAAACCCGAATCGTATGGCATCAAAGATGCGCCTCTTTGAGCTTGGCGTTTTTGGCGAACCACTCTTGATTCTCCACACGCTGCCCCAGCAAGGGACTGGCGAGCGAAGACGCGAGGCTCTGTCGGAAAACGACGTGCCCTATGACATTTCCAAGAGTTCTGGCCCTGGCTTGGAAACACCCCAACCAAAATAGGGAGAAACACGTTTGGCAACACACCTGTTCCCGGATTTGTCTCTCCTCATGAGTTGCACGCCTCAACATGCTGGCTTCCTCTTGGTGCCAATCAACAGATAGCCCCACAAAAGACCCCCATGAGCGTGGATCCTCCCCCGCCGAAATGGGCAATGGCCAAGGCTTGCCGGCACGGAGGCTTGGCTGATCCGGCCAGGAAAAGTTCCCAAGTCCTCACTTCCTGATGGGCCAAAGGAAGCCCGGGAACTTGTTGTTTACCAGTAAACTGGGCCTCAGAGCCGATCCCCCGCTAAAAGTGACGAACTTGTGGCTTAAATGGAAACTACCCACGCAAAACACTAAAAGGCGAAAAGGCTAAGGAACCGGATGGCTGGGAGCACCAAGTAAAATGATCTTCCCGAAAGGCTGAATTGAAAGTCCAGGAACTCTGGAAGTGAGAGTCGGAAGGACCTTGCAGTTCGTGTTGTTCGCCATGTCCGCCATTCGCCACTCTCGGAAGAACGAGCTGTTCAAGGCGTCTTGTTGGTTCCGCGTGAAACACTCCTTCCATTTGCTTATGCCCCGAGAAAAAAACAAGTGGCGATAGATTCCCTTTAAAACCAGCAAGGGAAATTAAAAACATATTGTTTTCAGCAAATGGAAGGAGCACAAGCAGGTTCCCCAAACAAAAATACACACGGAACCCGCCGCACAGAGCAAGGCCAAGCAAGCACTCGGAACTTGACGACCAGTTTCCGCCTCTGAAGGTGGCCTCCACATCCACATCTGGAGGATGAAGCACCTGGGTTCGAGCAGGTCAATAGCTTGCTTTTTTTTTCTTTGGGTTTTTCGCACGTTGAAACCAGACGTGTAGAAACAGAGACAGAGAACCTTCCTAGATTGGCTTTGGGACCGGGGTCTTGTTAAAACCTGGTCAAAAGCCTAGATCGTAAAAAGACGGCTCTATACTTGCAGACCTTTACATTACCAAAATTGGAGCCAGACCGAAACCGGCGCAAAGATTGTCCAGAAACTCTGCCAGTCTCACTTGATCCTGCCGACAGCAAAATACAAGGGCCTCGACTTAGTTGTTCTGTCAGCTAAATGCTTAGCAACACTGGAAACAAGGATTTGCAGGGGTGTTATCTGGAGGTTTAGTGGGGTTCTCAGCTTCCCTCCAAAAGTGTGGTTTGGATTGGTGCTTTGATGGTTGGGGGTGGTTTCCCATTTGCCCTCGACAAGAACCACGGATTCCCAGACCACCAAATCCAAACCACCAATTACAAACCACTAGCCCTTCAACACACTTTGCTTCTTAATACGAGGATGGTAGCTTCCATCCGTGCTCTTCCATGGCTGGAAAGAGCGTAGCCCCTCTTCTTCCATGTTCTGGGGTGGCTCCCTATTGGCAACTCTAGTGCCAAGGGCCATCCGGAGTTCACCCCGTTATCCATGCCACTTCCAGGGTTTGCTATTTGGCCTGCTTGGAAAAAAAAAAAAAAAAACGAAAGACACCCCAAGGCCCTACGGTGGAATTTCATTTAGGGAGGTCCCTTTTAAGTCCCCATGTTTTCCCCAACACTCAAAAGGAGGGTCAACAGAAAAAGCCATGATCCAAGCGCGGCACCCATGGGCGGCATTGGCGGCCGAGACCTGGGAAACGGCCTGCCAAGTAAGAAGCCTCTTGGGGCGGCAACGAGGCATAAGCTTGCCGGTCCCTATAACCAGAGATTCTAACAAAGAACTACCTCAAAAGTGGTTGGTGGACATGAATCCGCACCTGAATGACGTCGGGGGCACTCAAAATTCATACAAACACATATATAAAATACAAAAACGTACATATAATATTGTACACAACATCCCCGTTCGGCATCACCCAGCCAAAAGGAAGCTGACTTGAGTCTAAATCTACACAAAGCAGCTGAATGACCTGTTTCCTGTTTTTCGAGCGCACCCTTGTTTGGGGTCTGATTCCCATTTTAATATATGTATATATACACTTTACGCAGCGCGATAGCCATGTTGGCACAGGTCAACCCATTTTGGGGATTACCCGATACGCAACGACCGCATGTGCACCATGGCAACCACTTTGTATGTCCCTCGAAAGTTATTCGCCAGGGGTCGGCATTTCCGTGTGAGGGCAAAAGACACACTTTCGGGCTGGTGGGGATGGTTGATATCTTAAAGGGGAACTTAGACAATGCTAGGGTTCCTCGAAGATCATGACCATGACCCTCTATTTGTTGGATTATTTTTTCCTCCAGGAGGCCAGCACCCAAGCCAGGCTCAACATTTTGACAGGCGGACTAGCTTGGACTTTTGAGGGAAAGCAACTCCTGGTCAACCTGGGCCCATCCTTTTTTAGGGGACCCCCCCAATATGGCTTCGCTCTTCCTTTTGGTTTCTCTTTCAAACCCCCCAAAAACGGTGTACCAACTCCGAACCAAAACGGAGCCACACCCAAGTCTACCTTGGGGTCCAAACATGCACCCCAAGGACGAAGCCAACTCGGGCGCCCGGCACCAGCGGCGGCGCGCGGCGCTTCACCCGCTCCGCGTCTTGGCGCTCCAACCACACCACCTAAGGATCTCAGCTGACCGAGAGCTGAACCGCGGGAAGTTTTGGTTTGAAGCCCAAACTTGGGACTCACGGGAAACCGTTGCCAGGGTTTGGTTGGTGAAGGGAAAGCAAGCAAAAACTGTGGCCATTGTGAGTCAGTCAAGGTCTGACTCCTATTTGAACGATGTTGTTGCAATTTGGTTAAAGGGGCGTCCAAACCTTTCCCTGGCCAAACCTCATGTGGGAGGCGAATCCAGTGTTGGCTAGGTTTTATGGGACACCACAGGAAATCTGGATGGAACCCTCATTTTGAAAAAAAAACAACAACATGTTGTTTTAGCAATCAGACTTCAAACGGGAACCTGGAAATGAACAGCTTGCCCTTTTACAATTCACATGGGATCCCACAAAACCCACCTTTGAGAGATCTCTTTTTTAGGATTGGCCCTTGTGGGTTCCGTGTTAGTAATCAATCATGCAAGTCCCGAGTCCTTCCAAACATCCAAGGGGGGTAACAACATCCAGTAAACCACTCAGCGGCTCCTTCCAAACAATCCAAGTGTCCAATGTTCTAATCTAGGTCGAGAGGAACTCTCCAAATCAAACGCAAAGGATCAGTGTCAAGGCGGTGTTTCTGCCACAACCCGCAAATGATCCCGGGGGTGGGTTGAGATCACAGTCAATGGTCACGCGGTTGGAAGGGCGATTGGTGATTTGGGCGAAAATCACCAGAAATGAGCTTTGGGGTCGCGTGCCTTTGGTGTCATGTTGTACCGCCTTTGAAGGGGTCGGGACTAGACTCAAAGAGGGTCCACCTCTTAACTTGGCCCCAGAGGGATAGCTGAACCTCTTCGTTTAGAGGGTTCCGAACCAGTTTGCTTGCGATTGAACGGGGTTACAGGCCACTCCTCCCTCTCAAATAGAACATGCGGCGGCGCAAGCGTGCTCAGGTAATCTGGTGTCACCTTACGTTCTCCTCATTGAGCTTCAAGAGGCAGGTCCGGAGAGCTGTTTAGGAGGTTGTGACTGGAGACCTTCGCGTCCATGTCCCACGAACTGTTCATCCCCATCCATTCGCTGACGAACTGGACAGACATCTCTGCATTGACCGGGCCGGCCAGCCCCTGCGAGTCCGGCATCCGTCCGATCTCGTAGTTATCGGTATTCCAGGTGGTGACATTCTCGAGCGTAGTCGTGCTGGGCTGAAATTTCCGGGCGTCACGATCCTCGCCCAGGGCAGTGCCGACGAGATGATCGCATCCTCCGGAGCTCGCCTTCGAGATTTAGTTGAATCGTGTTTTTCACATACCCTTTAACATGGCCGATTCGCTTTTGACTCCCCCTTTTGGACCAACACAAACGCTTTGTGGTCGGCCCCCATGACAAGCTGTGACCAACCCGTGGACACAACTGAACAGAAGGAACCTCAGGGGACCCCAGCGTGGTTTTCGCCTGCTTGCACCTCTTCTTAGCCCAGGGACAAAAAACACTTTAATACTTAGTTGGTTTTACTGCAGAGGTTTGCACCCTCCTCGAAACAAACAACAAGTCAAGGGACCTTCTTGCACCTAAAAAAAAACACCAACTTTACACCCCAAAACACCAGAAAGAACAGTCACGGGACCTTCTGCACCTCAAAAAATAGCAACAACTTGACACCGCGGGTCGGGTGGGGGGTGGGAGGTTCTCCCCCAAAAATCACGAGGCTCCGGGCGGGGATGCCTTGGGGCAGCTGGCAGAAGGTCCTGGCCTGCCAGTCCGCAGGTAGCACCTGGCAAAAACTCGGCGACACGACCGGATGAGGCGACTCAGCTCCCAGTGCGCCAGGCGTCGCGAGTACAGGTCACCAGGCATGGCTCTACCTTTGGGATTTACCTCATGGTGTCCCTTGGTTACCTACCTAGGTCCTCCGCTAGAGAGGTTGGAATAGTACATGTTTGTTGTCTATTTTGGTAGGGGAAGCCCCCCCCAAAAAAGGGTAACAGGGCAATACTGGGGGACTGGTAACTGGAAACGCTGGGAGCTGCAACCACTTAAGAACAAATCCGGACATCACCGAAAAGGGCCACCAAGAATGGACTATTAAAAGACCCAAATAGGGCCACTAAACATGGATGAGACCAAAAGGCGAAAAGGTCGATCAGCTTTGAGCAAATGAGTCTAACAATGAAGGTTAGAGGCTTTAGTCCCAATTGAAGCAAGTAAAGCCACTTGCTCAAGTGAATGGGATCGACCTAAAAAACCCAAAACCTACAGTTGTTTTTGAGGTCTTTGGGCGCAATCCTTATTTGGGGTCCAAAAAATCGTCCTATAGCTTTACATCCGTCTCACTTTGCGAATTCGCCACCCAACATCTTGGGGCATGCTGGGCTGTCTATAGTCAGGTAGGAAGTTGTGGGCATGTGATCTTTTGGGCAGACAAATTCATTTTGAGGGTGGTTTGAGGGTCCAGGTGGCATGAGGAATCCACTTCCAGATCATTCCCGAATGAAAATCCCGAAAGTTTGGGGGGCTGTATTCACGCTTCACTCGATGATTCCAAGCACCAAACGAGGGGCAGATGTTCTGACTCTGCTCCATGCATCTGACGCCTATAATTGGTTTTAGTATAGTGTTGCAGGGGACCCTAGAAAACTGAGCAGTTGAAAGGACACCTCTCAGTTGCTGAGCTTGAATGTCCTGACCATCAGAAGCCTTTGCTGAAGCCAACAGATTTTCCAACTACCATGGAAGCCCAAAGTGGTCAAGTGTTGTGAACGACACACGGCAACAAACTGAAGATATGGTGGGAGGACCGGCAATCAACGGCTCCCTTCCCAAGCACTAGCTGCCACTAGCTCGGTGGCGACCCACAAAGCGTTGCGGCCGGTGTCCTTTGACCAGGCTCGGCCTTCTTGAATCCCCACCAACCAAAACAAACCAACAAACACAAATCGAACGGGAGCCTAAGGGGACCGTTCGAAAGGGGTGCCCGTTTTAGGTCACATCTCAACTCCGCATGGTCTTGGGGTTGATTCCTCCCTTTAGGCATCTTGGGGGGCTCCACAACACATAGCTTAAGTGTTTCATATGTTGTGTACCCTCAAAACATGCCTCCATTTGCTTAAGTCCCCTAACAAAAAAAACTTTCCAGTAGTGATATATTCCTATTAAAACCTGAGGCACCCAACGTGCCTTTTTTTTTAGGTACGAGAAAAAAACGCTCGAATTACCGATTTCTGCTCGACCCCCCAAAAAACGCTCGCCCCCCCGAAAAACGCTCGATCACATCCCCTTCTTCAATCCAGAGGAAGGCGGGATTGTTACGTTTTTTAAATTTGCACTCGTTTGCGGATATTTGCGCTCGTTTTGTGGATATTTGCGCTCGTTTTGCACTTTGATTTTTGCTCGCTCCTTTTGAATATTCAGCGACCGAGCATCTTGGAGGACCGACCAGCCCGGTTTTGGGAAAAACGCTCGAAGCAGGAAAAAGTGTACGTTTACCATATTTTGGTGACGACCCCTGGTTTTGCAATACGTTTGGGCTAAGGGCAGAAATTTATGTAACGAAGGGTGCTCCAGGAACCAACAGGGGAAATAAACAATATTTTTAACCAAATGGAAGCATGTCGTTTTGGAGAAGTCCTTCTTTGGGTTACCCTCTCGGACTGTTGGAGCCATGGCTTTGCCTTGTAGGGATAGGGGGTAGGCCCCGTTACTCCTTCAAATATGTGGCTCCTTGGGCAACAAACACAGCCGAGATCGATTCCCGCTAGTGTTTCCTTCTCTTTTGAACTCCAAAAAAATGAAAAATGGCGGCAACCGCAACGTGAGTGCAGTGGTATAAATGGTCCAACGCTCCTCTGCTCCTATGACACGCAAATACAAAACTAACCCACATGATTCCAGCTAACAGGATAGCAAGTCACGACTATTTTTGAAGGGCAAACAGAAAATTTGAGGTGGGTGCAGCTCTCAAAACTATCAAACCAGAAATTGAGACCACAGATTTCAGCCGACTTTTTCAAAAGGCAACCCATGTTTGGGCCACCAAATACCAGCACTCCTGACGCCATGCTCTGCAACTTTTTCTTTTTTTCTCGGCACCTGGGCAAGGCCTGGTGGGGCGCCCTCGCCTTTGAGCCTCAGCGAAGGCATGGCTGAAGCACGAGGTCTTCAAAAGGGGGCCACAAAAAAGGGTGGGGAATCCTATCTGAGGGCCACAAAAAATGTGTTTGCTCCCTGTACAACTTTGTGAAGGCCACAGAGACGCGGGGAGTTTTCCTCTAACTATAATATGAGGGCGACACAAATGGTTGATATGAGGGCCACAAACATAGTTGTTTCCTATATGAGTTCCACACAAATGGAGTTGTCATTTTTGAAAGGGGGTATTCTCAAACAACACACACACACATTTGGGGCTCCCTTGGGATCCATCTCATCTGCCGTATTCCCAGAATGAAAAGTGCTTCATTGCGTGTCTCATACGCGGCCGTCTCATTCATCCAAGTCAGAACACGTTCGCCGCATGCAAATACATATACATCTAAGTTTTATCTATCTACCTACCTTGCCTTACCTTACCTACCCACGCACGCATCCATCCAATCCATCCAATCCATGCAATCCATGCAATCCATCCAATCCATGCAATCCATCCAATCCATGCAATCCATGCAATCCATCCAATCCATCCAATCCATCCAATCCATCCAATCCATCCAATCCATCCGTCCAGCCATCCATCCATCCATCATCCGTCCATCCATCCATCATCCGTCCATCCATCCATCCATCCATCCATCCATCCATCCAACCATCCATCCACCAATCCATCCATCGATCCATCCCTCCATCCCTTCATCCCTCCATCTCTCCATCCCTCCATCCCTGCATCCCTCCATCCCTCCATCCCTCCATCCCTCCATCCCTGCATCCCTCCATCCCTCCATCCCTCCATCCCTCCATCCCTCCATCCCTCCATCCCTCCATCCCTCCATCCCTCCATCCCTCCATCCCTCCATCCCTCTATCCCTGCCAGCCATCCATCCATCCATCCCTGCCAGCCATCCATCCATCGATCCATCCCTTCATCCCTCCATCCCTCCATCCCTCCATCCCTCCATCCCTCCATCCCTCCATCCCTGCCAGCCATCCATCCATCCATCCCTGCCAGCCATCCATCCATCCATCCACCCACCCATCCATCCATCGATCCATCCCTTCATCCCTCCATCCCTCCATCCCTCCATCCCTCCATCCCTCCATCCCTCCATCCCTCCCTCCATCCCTCCATCCCCCTGCCAGCCATCCATCCATCCATCCCTGCCAGCCATCCATCCATCCATCCACCCACCATCCATCCATCCGATCCATCCCTTCATCCCTCCATCCCTCCATCCCTCCATCCCTCCATCCCTCCATCCCTCCATCCCTCCATCCCTCCATCCCTCCATCCCTGCCAGCCATCCATCCATCCATCCCTGCCATCCATCCATCCATCCACCCACCCATCCATCCATCGATCCATCCCTCCATCCCTCCATCCCTCCATCCCTCCATCCCTGCCAGCCATCCATCCATCCATCCCTGCCATCCATCCATCCACCCACCCATCCATCCATCGATCCATCCCTTCATCCCTCCATCCCTCCATCCCTCCATCCCTGCCAGCCATCCATCCATCCATCCCTGCCAGCCATCCATCCATCCATCCATTTTAAGAAAGCTATATCATACACTACAGACCCCCCTAGGCTCCCTAGGCTCGACTCGGCGGTTTCCTTCGGACTCCCGGCCATGCGGGCACATCCTCGTCGGTGCGACGGGGACCGCGCCGGTCCCGAGGCTCCTGACGCGGGCATTGGCACCTGACAGGTTCCTCTACGTCTTGGTTGACGTTGGAACAAAGCTTCTGCCCCTTAACGGGGGATCGCGCAACTGGGAGTCTTTCCCGGGCAACTTCGGGCAGTTTTGGCTTATTGCACATCCAAATTATCAGGCTGTTCTATTTCTGCCTGAAACTGCCTGTTACTGCCTGACATCACATCACAACCATCTATCTGCGACCTAAATTAATCAAAGCAGCTGGGCGCTACTGGAATACAAATCCCAGCGCTTCCAAACCACACTTTTGGAATTGGACAGTGCCACTTGCCACCATCGTACATGGGTGGCCTTGCCCCTCAAAAAGCTGCTGTATTGGGGATGGTCTTGCAGGGGTACCTGCACAGAAGGCTTAAACGGAAAGCGGCAAAACATGGCAAACCCCCTTCCCTTTGTTCCCCTCCCCCATTGTCAGACAAAACCACCTGTTTGAAGGTTGCTTTCAGGCAAACCAATAGGAGAATGACCGGTCAAGTTTTGGGAACGTCTGTTGGACACCATTCACCGCTGCGTTTGATGCCACCAACAAGCAGTTGTGAGGCGGCAACTTCTCAAACTTAGGGTCATGTCTAGCTGGTGGCTGTTGGTTCCATTCAATTCAGCACCCGCAAATGCGAGGGAAGGCGATCCATTAGCCCTGCAATGGATATTGAACATGGTTGGAGTTTGTTGAGGCAACGAAAAGCGAGCTGCACGGGTGTGGAACTCGACCCATGGTGTGCCTTTCTTAGAGGACCGCCCCAAAATGGCTTCGGAGTCCAATTTTAAATTTCCCTGTAAAGCCACACCAAACGGGGTAGCATCAGAAAAAAGAAGAAGAACAAAAACACACCTACACCCAGCCAATGGATTCCCGAAGGCTCACAAGCCACATACTGCATGCACATCCCGCACCTTTCCGACAAGTTGATCACCATACTGAAATGTAACACTGTAATAACTTGACTGTGCTTTGATCTAGGAATTTCACACACACACAGATGCACCAGCAACAAACAATAAAGCGGACCCCAGAACAGTCATAAACAGGATCAGGGGCTCTCGTCGGGACCCTGGTGTGACTGTTTGGTCTTGCTTTTTGATGGCTTATTTGGAGGCTCGGTTGATTATCCAAATACACCATCAGGCCAAAGCCGCCATACTAGAAGTGCCCATGTAGCTAGAATCGGATCTGTGGGCCAACCTCAATATCGTAGGCGCAACACCTGTGTACAATGTAAAGGTAGATGGCACGATTCCCTTTCCGTGTGTGCAGGGCAACACACAAATGGAAAGGTGTTAGCTACTTTCACCCAACTTCAGTCAGCCAAAATGGTCCAAGCAAGTACTAGACATACCAACAAAAACCGTCAGGCCGATGGCAAAACCCAGCGTCTTGTTTTGGGGGGGTCCTTTTTGGCTTGGTTTTGAAGCGTCGTTTTTTGGGGGGTCCTTTTTGGCTTGGTGTTCACGGGAAACCGCAGAAAACCCGCCGCCGCCTTTCTGGGGCTCAACGTCGACAGACTCCGGGAGGCCTCCATGAGCTCAGCGAAGCTCTGGTCGCAGACCACCTGATGGATTCACTGGGTGAAACATCTGGGCGAATTGTTCACTCGGTGATTCTGGGTGAAATAGAATATTTCACCAACCTGAACAGGGATCAACCTGAACATTTATGTACAATGTCCCAAACATCTGGGAAAAAGAAGAACAAAACAAATTTGTCTACCCTGGCCCAGTGAATTATCATATTTCACCAACCTGAACAGGGATCCCTACAGTGAATACACCTGAACATTGCAACTTGTAAATGGTGGTTTCCCTTTATTTGGGTGGAAAAACCCAAACGCTCCAATTCGATCAACTTAGGCCCTCCAAACAGCCAGGTTTCGAGACCGGGTCCCAAACGGGCCCGGGCTGTCGAATGGAAAAATCGGGTCCTCCATGGAAAGCCCCTGCCTCTGAGTGGGTGAAAAAATCCACGGGGTCGCACCAAAAAAAAGGGAGTAGGGGAGTCTACAAACAGGGCGCGGGAAGCCTTAATCGAAAAAAAGGGGCACTGGGCACCTGGGAAAAAGGGGCTGACCTGGGGGGGGCTAAAAATTAGGGCGAACAAAGCGCTTTTGCCCAATCTGATTCCTGTTCCAAGGTTTTGGGATGCTGTGGGTCCCTTCTCAAAACCTTTGGGAGCAGGGCTGTGGGAAATGGAATCCACTTCTGTGATACAACAAAAAGGGCCTCCTGAAGACTAACCCCCATTTGAAGAGGGGATTCCCTTGTATCACAGAAGTGGGGACAAACCCCTTGATCCCACAACCCTGTTTGGGAGGGTTGGAGAATCCACATATGGAAATCGAGAGGTTGGCCCCCACTTACTCCAGATTTCGGCCCCAACAAGTCGTTGGCCTTGCTGCCCGAGCAAGCCGTCCCCGCCTCTCCCCAAGAAGCCATCATTCAAAGTGGGCTCCCTTTGAACATTTCCACATAGTTTCTTGGATGCTCAACCAACTTAGCAAGTGGGGTTGCAATTGGGGCAACTGGAGCTAGGCCCCTTATAACCTGCAAATATTGAAATAGTGTACGTCTACGTGGCTCCCTTTGAACATTCCCACCTAGTTTCTTGGACCTCCTTATAATTATAACCTACTTACCAAGTGGATTGAGAACCCAAGTTCCGTAAGTGCTCCTTGCCTCACCCGGGACCTACCCTCTTCATCTCTAGGGGCTCCCGGCCAACGCCTTTGTGCAGGACCGGGCAGGGATCTAAGCAACGGCTTCGCGACGCCGGCGGACAGTGTGGCTGGAAAAAATGGTGAGGCAAGCAACTCTAGGGGTAACTTCCATGGTGAAATCACAGGTATTGTAACTTTTCGCCATGGGAATCCTGAGAGCAGAAAGCCACAGGCAACCTCTTTCCAAGAAAAGTGGACGCTATCTCAGGCACCTCTACCCTTTTTGCCTGTCAGCGTGCCGAAGCAACGACAACAACACAACGTCAATGTCTAACTAAACAAGACAATATAAGCGACCACTGCCTAGCCCCAAAAAAACAATCCACTCATCAGCGTTCAACGATTGAACAACATAGTAAGGATTCGGGCAGCAAATGTTGAGGAGCTGTTTTGTACACCAGTCACGCCACGTCTGTTGTGAAAGGGGCCGTGGCAATGGTTCTGTTATGAGGATTGTCTAACTTCTGATTGAAGAATGCCGGGACTGATCCACATGTAGTTTTATTTGGGTTTTCCAAACAATTGGGACATCAAAAAAGGTTACGACAACAGGATGTTTTTTGTTCAGTTGTGCAAGCTTGACTACCGGCCAAAGCCGGGAAACCAATAGGTCAACAAGATTAGCTTTGGGCCAAGTAAGATCACCTTTTAGTTCCCCGTTCGGCTGCTTCTTTGCTTGCCGCCCCGCGAAAATTAGATAGACCTGCACTGTAAAAAGGACCTGGGCATTCACACCCTCCGAACCCCCCTAACAAAAAACACTTAAATATGCATTATGCATGAAAAACGGGAAAAACACACAAAAAAACAACAATGTAAGGCCAAACCAAACACACAGACACACAAACGCACAAACACACAAACACACAAACAAACAAAGACAACCAGCCCACAAAGACACACCAAAGAGGCGACTTGACTTCAGCGATTCATTTGACCGCTGGGGATCCAGGCCAAGCTTTCAAGGAACCGGAAGAAGCCCGCCTACCGCCAGTGTGGCGATGGCTAGCTTTTTTGTCCTCTTTTGGCTCGGCACCCGTGGCTATGGTAAAGGAAACCAACAGGACAACCGAAATCCATATTTTGTTGGGTCTAAAAGTAGACACACCCCAACCGGACTGAAATTTAAGAGAGAAAGGCACTGAATGATAAAAATAACACAAAAACGCATCCAGAGTCTGCCTTTTGCCTGGAAGCTGATTGGCGGGAAGACATAACTTTCCTTTTGAATCGACCAGGAAGGTCAACTTTGCCTGTGGGAGGGCGCTTGGGACATCTGTCACGAGAATTTTCCGGGATCACCACGTGGAACCGGTGACCTCGTTGCACCTAGCTGGATAGAGTTTGCCATTCATCAGATTCATCTGACTTGTCAAAAACAGTGGACCCCCTCTTGGCCGATAGTTCTAAAGGAAAACCAAAAGGACCCTAAGGCCACCCAACATTTTCTGGCTGCTGATCGGAAACCTCCATTTTGCTCGTTGCCATCCCCTGCTCCGCCCTCATCACGCGAAGATCGGGCCATCCCCTGCAGTGCGCCCTTCAGCCGAGCGAGTTTCGAAAGCCCACTACTTCCAGGTCCTCCAGATTTGAGAGGTTAGAATCGGGGTACCGTTTCTTTTTTCTGTAGGCTATTTTAGAAGGGGAGCCCTGTCAACCAAACAAGGGGTTAAAAAGGGCACCTAGATGGGGGACCTAGACTTTAAGAACCTTGGGGCCCATCTGAAACTCACAAACACCAGCAGGGCGAAGCCACACGGCCTCGCGGCCAGCAATGCCACCCATCTCGCCAGCCTGGTCATATTTGTTGCCCTGCTGCTTTTGTCTAAGAACTTGCTCTTCCCCGCCCTTATATGACCGTTGGATAACCCTTACACAACCTTTCTATGGCTTCAGGGGGGTGGTGATTTGGGGCTAGTCATCTCAGTCTTAGATTCTCTAAACACTTGGTGAACCCCCGCCTCCCCCCCCCTCCGCTGCCGTAGACTACTGATATTGACCGTCAGCTGATATGAAGCAGGTTTTTGAACTCTCATGTGGTCCAATCGGGGGTCGGCGTTGCAAGCCCGGTAGGTATTCCCGTGACTTTTCGCTTACTAGATTGGTTCAACTAAAGCATGGGTGTTTTGGTCCCTCCTCAAGAGGTACCACCCCGGGAAGGAGTACTCCCACAGGACGATGAGGTAAGCTATAAGAGCCGCTTTAGACGCGTTGACCCAATTATTTTCCCGCCTGTCCCTTAGTGGGACTTCACCCTAACCCCTGTCCACCCAGAGCAGACTGCCAAGACCGACAAACCGGAAAATGAGTCACAATCAAAACCCGGTGCTAAAATGGTCTACCCAGAACCATGTAAGGAATTAAGAAGGTGGGATCGTCCTTTACTAAGCTTCATCTACCCAGGCTTTGATTGTGGGTCAAATGAGGAATGACCAAGTAAGGGCCCTTCATCATGGGTATGCTCAAGTACCCAGGTCAGCTGCATATAGTTGCCATGGCCTGCGAATCGACACCGATGGAATGGAACTGATGCAAAACCAAGCCCAACCCTACCTCCGCCAATGATCGAACCACCTGGCAAGCCAGGGCCCTCTATGTTTCAACAAAACCAACAAAAAAAGACACCTATGCATGTTGCACGAAGAATGAGGCATTCAGCTATGGAAGTATTTCGACGCTTGGGGAATCACAACCCTCAAGCACGCGGCAAGGCATCCGGGCGACACGCGCCAAGCTCACTTCTGTCAGGACCTGGGATGCATGTCACTTCCGTTAATTGGAGAGACCCTTTTGGTCATGTAACAAATAAAGCGAGAGGAAACAAACCAAAAGGGAACCAACATTAACTTCCGGCTTCAATGGTCAGTGAGCCCTGGGCAAGCTGATGAGTCAATATGGCACCCCAGCCAAAGATCGGGCCTTAACATCATGCACTGTCTCATTCACCACACGTGCGACTCCTTCAAGTGTATGGAGGTGAGACACTTCCATTCAGATAGAATGGGCACTCTGTGACTGCTGCGCGTGGCCAGAGCAGCATACCTGCATCCTTGTATAACCCAGTGCTTCCAGGCAAGCCACCATAGTAGGCAATCGATCGGGTTTCTTGCCAGGTTTTACGGTCGCTCAGTGTGCTAACAAATCTTGTTAAACAAGAAATGAGACTCTCGCTTGGCCGGGGAGTATATTTCTCAAAGTCTTGACGACCGCATAAACCCGCTTTGTGTTAGGCTGACGGGTGCGATTGGGTGCTACTGGCGAATGGGACATTCTGAGCAAGAAAGCCGCACCCAAAAGCAAAAAGGGGTTTCTTATCACACAACATGACCGTACAGCATGGATCATGGTTTCCCTTCGACGTTCCGTGTTTGATTGCATTGCTCAGACTGAAAAGTGAGTCAAAAGAAGCTGACCCATATTCTGTTTACATTTCCAGCTGGTTTCCCTTTGCAACACCTGCTTAAGGGCACCCCAAAAACGTACGCATAGACTCAGTCAAACTGCAACCTGAGCGGCTGTCCGCGCTCTAAGGTCTCTGGGGGCCCGGCGATGATATCCAATGAGGGTGCCTGGAAAGGATCAAATCTCACCAAGCCCAGGGATGTCGTCAGAGCTTATTGGGCGACTCTGGCAAATGTCCTGGCAACTTGTCCAGAACAGGTTAAAGGTTTCATTGTATTGAAAGGAATTTCGACTATTCAAAAGTCATATTGAGAACCCCGCCAAGCTGTTCAGTTCGCCCCACGCTCAGAAGCTTTGCCCCTGGCCCAACCTCAACTCATGTCTTGAGCTCGGCTTGGTGTGCTGCGCTCCGCAAATCGGTTTGAGCGCGCCTGCAGCTTGTTCGCCATCTCGGGGTCGAACCCCCCCGTCCTCAAGGCGCCCCCGCCCCGACGCTCCAATTCGAGGAACTTAGGGCCACAGCCAGGTGTTGAGACCCGGGTCCCAAAGCCCGGGAGGTCTAATGGAGGGGTAGGGTCCATGGAAAGCCACAGGAGCTGGGTACAGAAACTCCAGGTGTGTCAAGTCTTGGGTTCAACTCTCATTCCTAAGGGAATGTTGTTAGACACCTCCCATGCCTGAAAAAGATCATGCCGAATTGGTCTGGGCAATTTGCCGATGTTCCAAGACGCCAAGATCAGTTTCCAAGGAATCCCAGCTCGTTTTGCTCCATGGAAGAGCTTGTTGTCAAAGAAAAACCTCTCCTGCCCAGCAGCAAAGTCATCTCCCAAGGTCTTAGCCGGGTGTCGGGAACAAGTCGATTTTTAGCAAACGAATCTCAGTCCTCCGCTTGCCTCTTGAGGTCTTACGGGTATGAGGAAACTAGAGGAAGCGGTGCGTGGGACCATATCACTCCAAATCAGAGCAAGGGGGGGCCTACACGTACATGCCAGGTGTATCTCAAAGGCCCAGCCAGGTTGATATTTGGAGACCCCGTTTCTCCAGAGGGGTGCCAGCGATGGGAAAATCAGAGAACACGTAGGTAAGATGGGCCAATTGTCCCGAGGGTGGTTCTGCTTCCGCGTGCTGTTCTTAGTTGATGGGAGGAATCAATCTTCATGCTGCTTAGCCTCCGTGCCACATGGTGTCTAACAGAACGCCTCGTATGGAGTGTTCTTCCTCCAGCTCGCTGTTAACATTTATGCTATATGTCACATGTGGAAGGGTAGAAGGGTGACGGTTCTTGGGCTGTCTATTCAAGGGAGCCCCTGAGTGTGTGATAGATTGTGTGACAAGTTTCACCATAGCCATAATCAAGAACGGGGATCATCCCTCAGACCCTTCTAAACGCACCCAAATCATGTTCTTGTTGAACACAATTTGGACCCGTGCGACATGTTGGAAGGAAACCAACATAATATATTCTTTGTTTATGTCATAAATCACGGAACTGCCGAAACAACTTCAAAAGCACACTTATGGAGGGGTGGGCAAGGAACGGCACCCTGACAGCGAAACCATTCGAGAGATCCATTCATATGGTGACATGTCATACCAGTAGCCGAATGAGTCAGGGTCAAAGAATAACGGGAAAACCCCGGTTACCCACTATCAAGGTGACTGGGATCGACTGGCAAGGGCGGGTACTTCCAGCCTGTGTTGTGGAATGATTGCCCACCAAAGCGCACCAGGGTACCAGAAAGTTAGATTAAGTCATATATCCATGGGAAAGTACTGTCAATACCTTAGTTCATGCGGTATGTGCGGCAATCAGTCTTCCAGCCTGTGTTTCGGTGCAACCATAGGAAACATACTGCTAGTACATGCAAGTACTTCATTATTCAGCCTCTCGCATACCAAACCACCATGCTGTGCCAAACCAAGGAACTGATCCGAACCGAAACAAAGCGGCGAAGCGCGAAGCGAAGCCGCCTGCCCGGGCTGCAAGGATAAACCGCCAAAATCTTGGACTTGGTCTTCGTGTAGTCCAGGGTATCTCTGCGAAACCTGGGAGTTTGGCCCCCGAGGTTTTGTCCCACCATCGTTGCATTTTATCTTATATATGTGCGTATACATAAATGTATATATACATGATTTTCGTTGTTGACATCCATGTTACAGTTTGTTTGTGCAAACCTCTGTGTCCCTTGAAATGTTGGAAACTGCATCTCGCAGTAGCTGTCTGTTTCGGGCCAAGCAAACTGGCAGGGTGCTCGAACCTTGGCTTTCTGAACCGCAGTTCGCTACACCAACAAAAGCTTCACCTTTCCCAATGGGTAAAGGGTCACCCTTTTGTTGGTCGACTTAGGGAACCTCACCAGCTGTCCACCAGCAGGCTGAGACAATCATTCTGGTCATGGTTGAAGAACATCATGAGGGACCCCGCCAGAAAAAAATACCAAGGGACACTCACACTCTGGGTTTTCAGACCTCTGACCATTCGCCTCAAGCCTCCGGCCGGCGGAGTGAGAACGCTGACCACGGTCCGGAGACGGTGCTTTAGGATTGGTCCTCCGGCTTTATCCGAATATATGTCGAGGCTCGGGGTACCCTTTGCTTTGGATGGAAGGAAAACCAGGAAACCGAAGTTCATTTTGTGGATCCAAATCCCTATTTTGATACAAACCAACACCTACATGGGAGCTTTACAAGAAAAAGTATCTGGCCTTAAAACTCCCAGTTCGGGTCGCCCTTGCGTATCTGCAAAAACCCGGGGAACAAAGGTAGCACACTGAAAGGGCCAAACAGAGCTACGTGAACAGCTCGAGCTTTTGAATAGGTAGCCACGCATTCAACACGCGTGGAGCCCCGTGAGCCAGCAGACTGCGATTGCCTGGCCCTAGGTTTCCTGTTTGCTAGCCCCAGCCCCTGTTGCCCCTGTTGCTTGTTGGGGCTACTTGTAGCAAGATGCCTCAGCACCATGTCCTGAACAAGTACATCATAGAGTGTATTGAATCACATCGCGTGCTAATCTGTCCGCAAGACTACCCATTCCCAATAACAGCACCAGTGCTGGGCTTCCGCGCAAGCGCAGGTTGTGCTGGTAGTATTGCTCCAAGCTGCGCTCGCACACCTCGGTTTTTTTTTCAGCAGCCCCAAACGAGATAGGCAACATAACTTGGCGGATAAAACATCGGAAATGAGCCCATGTTGAGCACCCCTTGTACATGTAGCACACAAAGTGACAGCGAGGTTCCAAAAACAGGAGCGTTTTTGGGACAACCCGCAGGTGCTAGACCGAGCTGCATCACAGCTGGATCCTTCTAGACAAGAATCGGTCGGGTGTTTCAAGCCAATTTGATCAGCACACACAGCTGTTTCTCTTCTTTGCAGCTACAAACTATTCTGGGCGACCACCCAACACATCGCGCAACTTGACTTCAGTCCGGATGCGACTGGAAGAAAGCCCAAACCTGAATTAGGAGATCCTCAAGTATGGGGTGAGCTCGTTTGATCGCTCAAACCCCAAAGGAACCCTAAATGCATGTGCGCGTTTTCATGGTACCGAGCCTCAGGTTGCAGATTTAAAGGAACACCAAAAGAAACGATGTTGTTGGGGGAACCCCCCGATTTTGACACATGCCCATAGCCCCGATCCTGGTGTATATTCTGCCACAACTCCGGCAATACAAATAAGGAATACGACATGAGACTTGTGTTGTGATATACCTTTAAACATGTTAAACCAAAATATGTCATTGGCAGAACAACTGCAATTCTTCAACCCACCCTGAGAGTCCAAGTAATTACCTCAAAGTCCATCAAGACTTTTCCTGAGGTTTCAGACTCCCGTGAAACTAAACCGGGCCAGACTTCGCCCCCGTCCACCCCGACCCGTCAGGCGCTTCAGGTGCTTCAGGCGCTGCTGGCGCCTTCGGGGGCCCGGGCGAAGAGCGCCTTGGCGCCCAAGGTGGCCGCTACCAGGCCCGCGGCCAGGCACTCCGAGCCTCTCGGTCGGAATCGATCGGATGCGAGCGAGAGAAATGCGCTTGGAGGGAATGAGGGTTATGACTCTATGACCCCCCGTTCTTGCCATGAACGAGAGACTTGTGGAGCCCCGTAAAAAATGGAAACTATATATATATATATATGTAAACACCCAAACACAAACATCCCTTGCTGGTGGTTTCCTTGGGGAAACCAAAGCCAATTGGCTCATTCGACCACATTCCTTATCTACACCAGCAAGTTTCTGAGGCAACCTTGCCAGCAACTAACACCAGGAACCGTTCGACGTTCGGGGGGTCCTGGTTTGGACCGTTTTGCTTTTATTCAAGGGACCGGGTCCCAAAGGTCAGGTTCTATGTTAATTGGTGGAAGGGTAACATGGGTAGGAATTTCAATAAGGGACCCGAAATCGTGGACATCAACATTTGGTGTGGTTTCATGTCCACCAATCACTTTTGAGGTGGTCCCCTGTTAAAATTAATGGCCACATGCTCACGGACCAAAGGCCGAGCCTCCCTTGAGTATAGATCCCCAGAACCACGTCAAAAGCTCCTCCAATTGGTGGTTTGAACCGCGGGTGGTCTGGTGGTTAAGGCCAGCTTCCCATTTACCCTCTACGGTTCAAATCCCGAAACTGGAGCCCGACTTGGTAGTCAGGCCAGTTTCCCATGTACCTGCAACACCAGAGGTTCAAAACCAATTCCAAAACCCAAGCCAAACCACGCTACTAACCTTAACCGATCAAAAGCTATCATGTTCGGGGTCCCAGCTGTTCCCTGGCAAGAAACAAAGGGTCAAGTTGATAAAAGGGTGTGGCTCGCAGTTTTGATCACCCACATAAAATTTGGTTTCCCTTTTGGTTTCCCTACCCCATAAGGGTGCCCTCAAAAAAACACCGAAATGTCCTGGGCCAAAACCTTCAGGAAATGGTGAAACTCGGACTAAGGGAAAGAGGACAACAATCAGGGGTTTCCCTGTAGTTGTTTCTTTCTTTTGTTTTAAGGGGATTCCTCTAAATACGTAGTTTCCAGTGGATTCATCAGATGACATTGCTATCCAGAAACATGGAACCACCCCACTAGAAGGCTGATTTGTGCTTGGTTCCTTCCAACAGTCTCACAAGTCAAACATCGGAGTCTCCGGCCAAGCGAATTGACAAAACAGCTTGACTCAATTCCAATTGTTGTGTTCAGCTGGCCGCATTTCTTAACACTGCGGATTCTCTGAATATTGGAAGTAGATAGGAAGTCCCATGTCATGTTCCGTGAATGCAGGTTACTGCAGTTGTTGATGTCTAGGGTTGTTGATGCCGCATGAAAGAAATCCAGGTCCCCGCATCTCCGCCATCAGGAAACGTTCACGCAGGGGGATACGCCGGGATGAGAAACGAACCCCCTTCCTGCTAGTTGGCTGCAATCCTGCATCTTCCAGTTGTCAAAACCCACGCTGCACAAGGAAGATTCCAATTCCATGTGTCCTCATTTGTCCGGACGACCTGGGAAGAAGGCTTTTGGATCATTGAGCAAATGGACCAACTTTGAAAGGACATCAAACGTTCACAAGGCTGGCTTTGGGCTGGTGAGCGTGATCAAGATTGAGTTCTAAGCCAGCTTTTGCCCCCTGAACCCACAAATCATGTTTCATTGCGTGAACATCGTGATCCTCAAAGGCGTAAACCTTAAGAAGGCAAGATAGGTGACTAAACTTGGTGGTTGCACCCAACATCCTGTTTCCTCAAACCTGAACCTCAAACACAAACCTTAACAAGGCTTTTTTTAGGTGACTATCTGGTGACTGATTGATTGATCCAAGGGACACCAAGAAGAACACCACTTCTCCAAGCCCTGATTCTGTGGCGCCGCGCCGATCACTGCCACAGCCTTTTGCTCGAAGCTGCGGCCCGGCCTACAGACGGCTTGTGCCGGCTTAGTGCGAATGGCAACAGATTTGGCAACGCGTTCGTGGCACTTTATCCCAATGGCAAATCAAAAAAATGGCCTTTAGGAGAGCTTTCTGTGGACTTCTCTCCGACTTGGTGTCTTTGCATCAAGCAGAACCTCAAACAGAGTGTGCTGGTTGCTCGAGATGGATGATGTACTTGGATGATAACTTGCTTTGATGCAAGTCTGCGATTCATTCCCAGAAGAGTCCTCTGATCAGATACGCGAATTTATCATTGCCACTTCGGTAGCCAGTTGCCGCTTTCCATTTAAATTCTAAATGGTGTTTTCCGGTTTGTCAGAACCCAGGATGTATAAACCTTGCTTCCATCCCCATGCCTTTTTTCCCTCGTCCCAACCAACAGAGGTCCTTTTCGTCGCGAAACATGGTCTTCCAGGGATTCCAGGACACTCCAGTCAGGTTCCATGTTGGTGAAGGGGGTCCCATGAGAGGGACACGGCCCCCGCATTTCCCGTCTGGGGATCAATCCGGCTGAGTGCCAGACAGCTGAGCAATCATGTGTCGACCTGAGCCAAGTTCCAGAGCCAGAAGGTTCACCAACCCCAAAACAACTCACTCCGGAACGGAGTGGATTGGCCAAGGCGAAACTTCTTTGTTGGCCACTACTACAATGGTCAGACCAAAAAGTGGGAAAAAATCCAGGAACTCAGAAATTGAGCAAATAAATTGTCCTTTCACCCCCAACAACACGAACCAAACTGCAGTCTTGGGCTTCGATTCACACAGCTCCTCAAGACTGGAGTTGTCTCTGCTGAAGGTGCGGCAGAACTAGCACCATGCAAGCTGATTGGTGCTCCATTTGGGCAGCTTGCAGCTGTGTGCGTTTTCTGGTAGGTTTACCTGTCCTACCCTTTCAAGCCATCCGAGCAGGAGGGTTGCCATTGGAAAATACCCATTGACTGGCCATTCGGCGTGCTGAACTACATTCCCTCCAGCTAGTGAAGCCAGATGAAGCAACTCTTCGTCAAACCTCCCTTATTGAGTGCTCAAAGCAGGCCACTGCAAAGTCATTTCTTTGGGCGTATCAAAGCTGGGGACGCATTTGGATACCATTTGCCCATGAAAGCAGGAACAAGCCAACCATCCGGGATCTTCCAGGTTTTAACAGGCAGCAAAGCCAAAATGAATTGACAGAGAGACCAGGGCAAGCCCAGCAAACAGTTTACATACAGACCATCTGAGATCCGCGCTAGCAAGAAGGTCGGCTACATGACAAGCAGCCCTGCAGGGTTTTGCGAGGCGTGTGCGGAGACGATGGATGGGCTTGTTTTGAGGGTTTTTTTAGGAACCTGAATCGCACTGAGATGCAAACTGTTGAAACTGTTGTTCGTGTGGGTCATGTGTTAATTTGTTGTTTTCCGGATGCAAAGGATATAAAGCTCACCCACAGTGCAACCAAGTTGCCATAGTTGATGTCACCAATACAAAGGTCTCCGGACTCACGACCATCCCTAGCAGCCTTCAAAGGAGTTTGGACCCTTGCTGCGAATCTTCTTACCCCATGCAGGTGTTGCTTTCCCGAAATTGTCACAAGGCCCAAGGGTGGGCAAAGATTCCCCGAAAAGGAACACCAGCTAAGGACCCAAGTTTCTACTGAACTGTGTCATTGTTTTTTCGAGGCTTGGAGCAACCCTTTTACACTAACTTGAGTTGAGGCACCCTCCAAAAAACCTCGATCCGTGAAAGGGCAAAACATGTGTCAGTTGGCGGGTGTCCCGGACTCTTCGAGTTCCATCCGTCCCAGCCGGATTTTGTCCTTTTCCTCTGACTGGCGAGCCCCAAAACCCGAACGGGCTCGCTTTGAGTTGCGCGTCTCTGGGCTTCACGGTCGCGCCTCACTTTGGATGAAGCAACGGACGCACCAACCACCAGATGGGTGCCGTTTTTTGAGAGTACGATCACTCCAAAGGAAAACCATATTAAAACCAAAGGGAAAACCTAAAGGGAAAACCTAAAGGGAAAACCTAAAGGGAAACCATTCTTAAGGAAAACCCAAGAAAACCTTTTTTTTCCTAAAACCAAAGGGAAAACCATTTCTGAAGGTGCAACCCCTGGATATTTTTTTGCGGCCCCCTGTGCGGTCCAAAACCTCCGCCCCTTCCGCTGCCCCGCCCCCCCGGGCCGAAGCCAGCGCCCGAAGCCGGCGATCGGCGATGGCCGCCCTTTGGCCTCGAGGCGAAGAAGGGCGCCGGGGGGTTCTGCCGAAAGGCGCCGCGGCAGGGCCTGGCGATCTCGACTCGGAGCGGATGGACTCGAGCCGAGCGAGCCGAAGCGGAGCCGGGGACGCAGGGGCCGTTGTGAGCCTGACCCATCCAGGAAAATATAGGAAACTAGAGGAACATATAGGAAAATAGAGGAAAATATAGGAAAATAGAGGAAACATATGGGAAAATCTGGGCACATATAGGAACGTACAGGAAACACAGAGGAAAATATAGGAAATTAGAGGAACATAAGTAAACCCTGATCCAAAGGATCCACGTCAAAATAGGAAATATCTGGGTCGCAATGCCATTCGTCTATCCTCGTGGTTCGGTCATTAAATTCAAGAGTCTGTTCATTCAATCCTTGATTCGTTGGTCAGTCGCTGACATATGTGTACATATGTATAAATACATATACACATGGTCAACCCCCCTTATTCATATATATATACAGGAGCGAGCAATCTTATTTCAATATAATATATACTTACATACACCAGATTATCTAGGTGGAGAGGCGTTGTGGCTGTCAAAGATACGTGCGCATGCTGAGTTCGCGGGCGGATCGATGACTGTGAGGAAGAAGTCCCGCTGGTACTTCGGTGCCAGGTCCTCCTTGCCGCATTTTGCAACGAGTCCCAGGAGTCCTGTTTAATGGAGCCCAGTTGCAAGCCATGTGGATGAATGCGAAATCCATTTCGCACCACCAGAATCCAGAAACCCGGGATTCTGATTCGATTCCCCAACGTAAATACCAACAAACAATGGTTCCCCATGGTTTCAAGGTGGGGCAGGATTTGTCCATCCACAGCAGGTAAGCAACCATCTTTGGTGTTGCTACCCAACGGTTGTCAAGTCCTGCACTTTCAATTCGTGCTTGCAACCACACAACCTTCTGTTATTACTTACGAGGGAATTATCAGAAACCCGGGTTTCTTAGGTAGTGCAGGATTTTGTCCATCCCCAGTAGGGAAGCAACCATCTTTGGTTCGCCCAATGTTTTCTTCTTTTTTACTTAACCTTGGTTACCCTTTGCCGCCCAACGGTTACCAACTAGTATCTATTGCCCTTTAGTTTCTATCCCTTTGGCCAACAAATATGGACCCCTATTAGTCAACTACCACTATTAGTAGGAAACCAGTCATTTACCTTTCGCCAGGCAAGCCACTATGGGGAACCAGTAACTCCTTTTTGTTTAAATTGAATGGGTCCTTTGGTTGCAACTATATCACTGGAAATGGAATCATCACTGGATGATAACCTTGGTGGGGCAAGTTTTGCACGGGGTGCAAACACATCAGTGTAACAACTATCATGAATGTTGGGTGGATCCCATCGCCATCCAGTTGCGCGAGGAAAGCAAAGCAACCCGTTCTGCGGTGGGCTTCTTTCAGTGGGGAGCCCGAACCAAAAGGGTTTGAGGTTTCATTGAACAGGGATCCTTACATGAAAACACCTGAACAGTGCAACTTGTAAATGGTGGTTTCCCTTTATTTTGGTGGAGAAAGCCATGTTTTAAATGGGCAACATGTATCTTTAAAGGAGCCCTGTTGAATCAAGGCGCTAAACAAAGATGTTCAAATCACGATTGTTTACCCCAGCTCCTTGTGGTTACCTCGTGGCAGGGGAAGTATCGTGACCTGTTAACAAAGATGCTCAAATCACCTCCTTGTGGCTTCCCTACCGTGGATGGACGAAAGCCATTTCGCACCACTTTCAAACCATGGTTGAACCCATAACCTTTGCTGGCATTTATTTTGGGGAATCGGATCAGAATCCCGGGTTTCAGGATTCTGGTGGTGCGAAATGGATTTCGCAATCATCCGCATGGCTTGCAACTGGGCTCCATTAAAAACGGGTTTTCTTGGTTGGTGCGAAATAGATTTCACTAATCTTTGTGCCACCATTAACAAATCCATTTGGTTGGTCACCCTTAGTTGGTCACCATTAGGTACCACTAGTTGGTCACCCTTAAAAAAGGTTTCGGTCACCATTAAAAAAAATGGCTTCTTGGTTGGTGCGAAATGGAGCGGTGCGATTTCTGGATTTCGCACATCCACAAAAACACATGAGTTACCATTAGTTGGTCATCCTTATAAAAAAAAAGAAAAGGTTTCTTAGTAACAAACCATTAAAACAGGTTTTTTAGTGACCCACCAAATGGTGACCCATCCACAGCACGGTGACCCCATCTTCGTAGGTCATCAGACGGCACCTGTCGGACGGCGGCCACGCGGGTCGCCGGGTCGCGCACTGAGCCCCGCGCCAAGGACTCCTTGGGCGAGGCGCTGCGGCGATCCAGCCTGCTCCGGTTTTGGGGTTCAACGGGCAAAACTCGCGCAGAGGTAACTCCCCCCTTCAAAAAAAACAAAACAAAAACAAGTAATGAAGGTTGAGGAAATGGCTTTTGGTTTCAAGTTAAAACCGAGCAAAATAGAGGTACATTTGAAAAAGACACGCCAACCAAATGCTTATTGACAAGATCTTGCCACAGGAGAAGGCAAAACTCTGCAAAGAACTAGCAATGCTTTGAGTTTGGGACACCCTGGAGGAAGGAATTCAAAACGGAAACCCAGTTGGAGCGTTCCCTGAGACATACCCTAGCAATTAACCTGGGCTTCAAACGTCCCCGACGTTGAACGTTGTGCAGCTGACGCTAATGGTATCATCTGCAGAGAGCTAGCTGATAACAATTTGAATTATAAGTTACTGTTGCCAAACAAGCCCCTTGCAGCCCCTGGTCGTATCCCCAACAGCAATACCCTGCCGGAACCCTAGCCCACATCCGCTCCAAACAACTCCGGGCCCTATCTGGGCAGAGGTCCAAATAGCTTTCAGCCGTTGAGCAAAAAACGCACAAACACAGCACGACCCCAGGCGTTGCACTAAACAAACCGCGCCACTGGAAAACATGCAACCACTCAACACACCAGTGAAGCTTGGCAGGCCAAAGGAGAGAGCACGGTGGGTTGCATTGAGCTCTGAAGCACTTATGCAATCCGAAATTTACTGTGTTGAGAGCACCCCACTTACAATATCTTACAAGTTGCCACCCGAAAAAATGCCAAGATACTGATTATCGGGTATGTCCTTGGGGTGAATAAATCTCCTTTGCTCGGTTCACTATGTTGCTCCAGTCCTATCCCACGACTCAAACAAACCTTGGGGCCAGCGTGCCGCAAGAGAACTCGACCACGGGTTTTGCCCTACTCAAAATATACGTGAATTGAGCCAAATTTGTCGTGAACCTTACAATGAACAAGCAAGATGCATACAAAACATATATATATATATGGTACCCGCCCATATGTATCGAGAGAGAGAGAGAGGAAGGAGAGAGAGAGAGAGAGAGAGAGAGAGAGAGAGAGAGAGAGAGAGAGAGAGAGGAAGGAGAGAGAGAGAGAGAGAGAGAGAGAGAGAGAGAGAGAGAGACAGAGATCAGGTCCCAAACTGGCCATGTGCAAGCACATTTCGACGCCTGAAGCAGAGCCGCCACTTTGGCCGCGTCGAGCCTAAAGCGCGGGGAACGAGAACTCCATGTCTCGGGCGGATTAGACTCAGGGGGATTAGCTGCCCCGACCAATCCGGTCATGTTGAGCTTTAGTCGCAAGGCAGCAAACAACAAAACAACTTGTCACGCCTGGTTGCTGCTAAACGTGCTTGGGGCGGTGATGGACCGCGCATGCGAGCCGTGAGCGAATCCCGGACTGACAAGATCTGACAAATGCTCCGCGAGAAACTTGTTCTGGTCCTCTGACCAACGGCGCCATCCATCGTTGATGCAGCCACGTTAACATGCAGGCCATTGGACTGTCCTTGGCATGGTAGAGAAAAGGTGATGGAAGACTTTGGGAAATCACTCTGCCAGCCCCTGAGGAAAGCCGGGAAGGCCTCTACCCTATCCCCAAACTTCTAACCAGATTCGTTACCGAGTGATAACTGGTGGGGCCTGAAAAAAATCGGACATCCCCATTCCCCTGCTAAGTTCTGGCAACAACAATTCTGTGCTCACAAGAACCACACCCATTCACAGGAAGGGCGCACGCCCCATCCAGTAATTAAACAGGCGCAAACCAGCATTTCTGCGACTGCCCAAACGCTTGACCCGCAGGAGGGTCCGACCCTTCGAAAGCCTTTGGCCAGCGCGTCGCGCAAGCAAAAGCTTAGCCCCGTACGGGCGGAGCTTGCAGATTCCTTCCTCAGACAACGGCACACATGTGCCACGGTCAAAGCGCGCTTTCTCGCGTCCATTTTTTGTATGGCGGAATATGTCCAGGGGAAAGCGGGAAATCAAAGTGTGCCTGGACGCAACATGCCTGTTGCATCCTCAGTTGTTCAGTGACCCTGGCTAAAAAAGGAACCCTTTTTGACGAAGACCATTTTTAGTGGGGCAGCCACCAAAAAAGGAAAAAGGGAGCCACTGAACAACTGAGCATCCTAATCGAAATCACCGACATTCTCTGTTCTGCGCCCTCAACGTCAATCTTAGTTGCAGTCCCAGCCTGAGACGCTTTGTTCCAGGTGCTCTCACAAAACATGGGCTTCCTAGGCTTTGGGCTGGTCATGACTCCATGAATACCACACTTCGACAATCATTCTAAGGGTTTCTTCTTTGAAAGTCATGACGAAGACCCACTAGTAAAATTGTCGGTTGGCTATTTTGACCCACAACCACCATGTTTAATATGATATATCAAACATGGTGTGTGTGGGTCAAAATATGGCATCTGTCTGTTTCCCACAGAACATTGCAAGCATTGAGTTGTAGCTTCTCAAGGCCAAACCAAGGGCAAGTAAATCCACTGATTCAGAGACGACTCGCAAGGGGAGCACATAGGAAGTTCACGACCTTTCAGGGTCCTTGATGGCCCCGAATAGGCACTAGTCACTAGGCTGCAATGACAGCCCTATCAACTTTCATTCAAGCACACACCAGCTTAAGCGAGGCATCACCCTGGGTGAAATCAATTGCAAACTCAAAATGCCAACGTATTTGAAACATGTGGATCACACCAAGTCACCAGGCCCACATGGATCATGGACCCCTTTCCTTCTCCAGAATATCCCTTGGTACCTTTGGATGTACCTGAGGGGATCCAACATCGGTCAAAGTATATCCTCAAAAGGTAGCACGGGGGTCTGAGGTGGTCCTTTCCTTTCGGGCCCCTGTCTGCGTGAGGAGCCCAGCGACGCTTCGTTGGCAAGCGTGGACACCCATTGGGTCCAGGTCGTGAGAGTCACCGGCCATCAACTAATGCGTGTATGAGAATGTATCAAAATCGGATTCCAAAACTGGGTGTCTCCCTTTGGTTTCCCTTTAAAAACAAGGCTGTGAATGCTAGTCTCAAAATGCACTTTTATTCTGGCTGGGTTCATGGGCATGTACATCCAGACAATAAACACACACACACACACACACGAATGTGCTTCCATGTTGCACCTCTCGGTTACAACCGAACAGGTGGTGGACCCCGCGACAAAAGAATCCGAGCGCCATTCAGCAGCGCAAACTTTTCCGGGCACCGCGGCCGAAAACTTTCAACGAAAAACTTGGCGCGTCTACCCGACGACACCCAAGCAATCTATCCAAGTCGGCACTGGCCGATGAGGTGTGCTGATAAGTTGATGGTGCCAGTCGCAACCCCCCAATGTGTCATGTTTATCGCAATGCATTGTCCCCTCCCGATCTACCATTTACTTGCCCACAGATCAGTGTGTCTGATCGCCAAACTCTGCTTGAGGTTTTGCCAAGCTCACGCCTCAAGTCTCCGAACGGCCTCCGCCAAATGGCCCCGCAGGAGCTTTGCTGCGGGCATGGAGAGATCTCTGGGCGATCCCACCTCCAGCACGAAACAGGCAACCGATGCATGCCCACATTCAAGGGGGGTACCTTGTTGTTTGGTTCGTTGATTTCGAAGCCTGCAACGAAACAAAGGGTGGCGAACAAAAAGCAGTGTCAACTCTGGATTAAGATGTGGCTCTGCGAAGAACAGCCATCCAAAGTCATCGAAAGTAGCATTCATGCCATGTGTTCTGCAACGGGGAAGGACGAGGCTAAGGCCGGAGGAAGGTTGGGGGATGCTCATTGTTGTGCATCAATCATCTGTGAAAACCACTGATGTACCAACGTGAAAGACATAAGGACCTTCCCAACAAAGAAACCTGCATTCTGGGTGAGGTTGCAAACCCCCTTTGCAAGGTCTCCAAAATTTGGCAAACAGGAGGCCTTTTTAAGAGGGCTGTAGTCTTCCAATACCCTTCTGTCAGCTTTCATGAAAGAGTGTATAGAGTGTAATCATGTATTAGCACATACTCGTACTGTAGCTGTCTTGTATCTATAGACTACTGACAACGGTTGTGGCACAATGTGTCTAGCAGCTGCGAGCTGGTACTGCCAAGCACGTGGCACAAGCAGTTGCAGTTCGGTTGGCCGCTTCAATCCATTTGTTCCAGTGTTAAACTGTCATGTACCTACACAACAACACACACATGATGAAACTTAGGGTAAACTATTGCAAGTAAGCCAACCACAAGACATGCCGAGTTGCCGGACTCCGCTTATTCCCTACGTGCAATACTCAAGATGGATGCAGTTCTGGGCATCCCGCGCACTTCACCAAGCTTTAAACCAGGCACCTCCATGCGCCCAGCCAATCCCATGTGCCCTTCTCGCCCTAAATGGCTCAACTCCGGTGAGCGAGTGCAACGGGTGCTCGTTTCCGTGTGCAGGCTATCCCGGTTCCAGTCACCAGTATAGTAGGTAACCAAGGGAAACCATCATGTAACACAATGTACAATTAAGAACCTTAGTTGTCGACTATAGTGGTAACTGGAAGCATTGGCTAATGTATTGATGCTTTTACGCAAGCAAATCCTCAAACACTACCGCCTGCAGCATGCTGGACCACATTCGGCTTGATACTCGAAATGAAAACCTTGCTACTAACTTGCCACCCCAACCCCAACCCCAACCAACCCCCCAACCCTACCCCAACCCTACCCCAACCCCAACCCCAACCCCATCCTACCCCAACCCTAGATTTCTCGAAAGCTTCTAGGGCCGAGTGGCCCGGTCGCGTAAGTAGGCGATACACTTGGCCACCTCCTTGGGATCCGCTTCAAGCTTCTCAGCCGCCAAGTGGCCCTTGATGCCCTGCCTGCAGCCCGGCAGAACACAACAACCGCGTTTAGACACTCCAATGGAAAAACCCTCAGTTGTGTTCTTCTTTCGAAGGGTTGCCGGATTAAATTTCCCAAGCGGACATTACAGTCCGCAACCCGGTCATTCTTGATTGGAGGAGTTATTTGGAAGAATGATACGTCAAAATAGGGGTACCATGGGAACCCAAAAATACTCGGTTCCAAATAAGGATCCACGATTGTTGGGCCGCATGGTGTCATCCCCGAAAGGCATCTCTAAGTCAGCAAACGATGCCTGGGTATTACACAAGTGGCAAACCTCAACCATCTGTGTGGGGTGTTTAGTAGGTGAAATCAATGATATGGGTGTAAGCAACAGCTGCCCCCAAACTCAGCAACACCAATGGACAAGCACCAACCAAAAGCAGCGATCCAGACAACAAGCACTATTCACAACAATCAGCTGGGCAAGCACGCATGCAATTGATAAGCGTACCACAACGCCACGTTGCAAACAAAGACGTGCACACCAACAAACAAGCAAGCAAGCACGCATGCAAGCAAGCAAGCAAGCAACCAAGCAAGCAAACAACCAACCAACCAACCAAACAAACAAACAAACAAATAAAAAACAAACAAACCAACCAACCAACAAACAAACAAACAAACAAGCAAGCAAGCAAGCAAGCAAACAAACAAACGACACGCACGTACTCACGCACGCACGCACGCACGCACGCAAGCCAGCAAGCCAGCCAGCAAGGAAGCAAGGAAGCAAGGAATCAAGGAAGCAAGGAAGCAAGGAAGCAAGCAAGCAAGGAAGCAAGCAAGCAAAGCAGGCAAAGCAGGAATGGAAACAACCAATGAAACAGCCAACTAAACAAACCAGCCACCCAGCCTACCTTACCACCAACCAACCTACAAGCCACTCAACCACCCAACAAGACAGCCAACAACCCAACAAGCCACCCAACCACGCAAACACCCACACGACCAACCAAACAACAACCCCTCAAACAAGCAAACATGTTCATAGATCCACATTGTTGTCCGTAGCGATCTTCAGCCTTCACCAACGAGGCGCTTAAGCTTAAGCTTTATCCGGGCTTTCGTAATGAATGTTCCATGCAAAAATGGCAGGAAACTGCAAACAGAACAACCAAACAAACAAACAAACAAACAAACAAGCAAGCAAGCAAGCAAGCAAGCAAACAAAGAGCGGAACAAACCCAACCCATCGCCCTGTTGCCCATGGGCCGGGCGACACTTCCGCCGGGTCGTTTTGCAGCAGCGCAGCTGACACGACCCGCAGCACCGCATTCACAGCAGGGGCAAGGTCCAAGTTGGGCCTCCCAGGACACTCGGATGGGGAGGTTAGCGTAAATGAGAAGTCCCCCTACCCAAACGCTCCCGATCAATTTGGGGCTTTTAAACAGCCAGGTTTTGAGACCCCCAAACACCCCTGGCTGTCTAGTGGAGGGGTCGGGTCTTCCATGGAAAGCCCCAGGAGCCTCTGGGTAGACGAGAAATTTGGGCTTGAACCCAACATTGGTGGTATCCATTACGGCTATTCCCTTTAAGGCGACCCCCGAACAGGTCAAACAACTCCGCCCAGAAAAAGGCACATGTGCCGTTGTCAAAACTCCTGAGTTGCTCCATGGTCATAGCTCCCGTGGGTGCGAACCCTTGCTACATGTGTCTAAATTCCCCATCAATCAAAGGGTCGTCGACCATCCCTGCCAGCCCCAAGCAAAGGGGTCAAAAGTGACGGCGGGGGTGTCTTCTCAAAGACAGGGGGAATTCCCTATCAGGGGGCATGCACTTATAAATGAGGCAAGTCTTTTCACGAAATGCCAGAAAATCAAAAAATGAAAGTATTCTTCTTTCGGGCGCTGTTTTGCAAGGAAACCCAACGGATGCCCCCCATGTTTGAGGGTTTCATAAGTTTCATATCTGGATTTCCAATCCCAGCTAGACAGAGTTCCAGCCGTCAGACTTCATCTCATGACCTGATTTTGCAGCGAAATGCGGCGCTCGCACCGCATTTCGCTGATCAACGTAGCCCAAATGTTAGAGCATCCTGGATCCCTGCAATCATTCATGACTGATGTTGAGGTATGTCTGCTTGGAGCATGTAGAACCCTAGGAGTTCGTCTGATCTTCGGTATGAACACTGAACACTGCTCCTTGTGCATAAGCTCTGGTGTATCCGCTTTCCGCTAAGCTACCTGCACAAATCGTGCTTTTGGGTCTCGTTTTGTTGGATAAGCCCATTCTGTCAGGACCCCGAGACACCTTCGTCACCTAACTCTTGGTCAGAGGACAGTACCGATCTCAAATCAAACCAGCTTTCCACTAATTTGTGGTTTGGATTGGTTTGGAGGTTAGGGGTGGTTTCTCATTTATCCTCTACCCAAAACCACCAATCCAAACCACCAACTAAGGCTTACCTGACTTTACAGGGGTTCATGCCAAAACGCATTCCCAGAGCCCTTCGATCGATCTTTCATTCGCAAGTCCGCGCGCTCCGAACTTTACGCGCCTGGCATAGGGGTCTGCGAGCTGACCTTGGAAGTACTTAACCCTTGAAGTTGCTAGGTTTCCAGTGGATCCAGTCTACACTACGTTGGTGGAGTACCTAGAAACGGGAGAACCAATACTGGTACATATGACTTGCCAGTTTCTCGTTTCCCCCGTGCATTCCAGTTGCCACGATGGTGGGTACAGCCAGCTGGATTCTCAGACTTTTGCATTTGACGTGGGCTCGGTTTCTTTTTTGTGTTCGCAGCCACCCTTGGTGGTGCTTTGCCACGATTTCCTGGCTTGAAATTGGAAGGGCCCTTTGGCTCGAAAGGAGCCAGTTGCCTGCAACTATGGGACATGGAGCGGTTCTTTACCGTGCATATACCCTTCCACCAGCGTGGCAGTGCACAAAGAGAAATTCCTCTTCAATAGGGGTCCCGCGCAGTTTCATGTTTAGTATGGAAATCACATAGCAGTCTGGGTGGGCCTGAAGATTATGTTCCTCCACCAACCTGTTTATAGCAGTTGGACAAAAAAACACTGACTAGCTGGCTAGTGTTCGAGAACTTTGTCGTTTGCCAAAAGTTGAAATCGTTGCTCTTTGATTTGTGGACATCTGCATCCCCGAAACTCATCGGCTAGTGTTGAATTGAGGATGCCAGCCAGTTACAGCCTGAGGAAGTGCATTTGTCTAATAGAATTTCCACTACCCGAAAACATGCTCCAGAAAACATACACGTGTCCATACTCCTTGTACAGTGACTTTACGTAGGTTAGGTTCTATGCCCTTCCCGTGTGCTCTTGGGGAAATGATTTGGGGATGGAAGGCAAAGGACAAACAGGATTGGCTTGATCGCATGATCCACTAATTGGAAACATATTTTCTTCGGAAATAATGAATCCCACAGTAAGAAGCCCAGGTCAGCCGACGGTTTGCTCCTTATATATGTGCAGACACATTTTGGGACGAACTTCCTTGGCTTGGGGATAAACAGCTGCTTGTTTGACAGGCTTCCTTCTATTTCCCCCCATTTCCCAGAACATCCCCCCACACGAAAAAACAACACATGGTGTAAATCACCACAGAGCATATCTCGGTTGCTTTCTGCTGCCCTGCTAAAGGTTTCACTTTTAGTGGTTTAGTGGAAAACCCATTAGTTGGCAACAAGTTGTTCAGTCCTAACAGCCCTTGGCAAAATGCACCAAAGATATGTGGGGAACCTGGACAACCCTTCGGGTCCTGTCTCATTTCTTGGGGACCCCAAAGGAAAAATGGGAGCCGTTTCCTCAACCAACTACGGGGACCCCCCCACAAAAAACAAAACACAAAAAAAACAACAAACACAAAACAAACAGACACAAAACATACAAGCACAAAGCAAACACCCCGCCCCCCCAAGAAAAAAACACACACACAAAACAAACACACACACACACACACACAAAAAAAAAAACAGTGTGCGCCAAATCCGAGTCGCACTTGGTGGGGTTGCCGCGCGCCCAGGCGCCCACGTCAGGGCCCGCCCCGCGACAGCAGAAACGGGTCACCGCCTCGCGCGTGGCAAAAGCAAAAAACAACACAAAAGCGATGTCTACAGGGGCTGAGTTAGAATGGGGCTAAAGCAAGTTCAAAAGCAGAGTGTCACCTGCCTTAGCTAAACTCGAAACGATGTGTTTAGATGTGGTTGATTGAAGCATAAAGGTGTTGCCAACGCTCGAACAAAGATTCTGATTGCAATTGCATCCCTCAGAATCCCACCACTTCAAGGACAGGCGTACCTGGATTTCGATTCCCAAGGTTGCAATTCACTGGTGGGTTCCATTGAAACTGCCGCTTTTGGAGGTCCCAAAAGGGAAACGGAGAGACACCTTAACTCAGTTGTTCAGTGACCCTGGAACAAAAGGGAACCCTGTTTGGGGAAGACCATTTTTAGTGGGGCCAACACACAAAAATAGAAGGGAGAAAGGATGCCACTGAACTAACTGAGTTAAAGGACCCAGAAATCCTCCGCCTCCCGGTTTTCGATGAGGCGCAGGGCGGCCTCCACGCGGAAGTCCTCGCATCCGTTGCGGGTGGAGTGAGAGACCCTGCCCGTTTTTGGGCGTGGAACCTGACGCCCGGGACATGGGAGAGGGCCCCAAGTGAAAAGGGACATGGTCCACACCTCCAAACCATAAAACCCGTAACGTCGAAACATATCCATGTGAAAAGGGTGGGAGGGCCAGGACGTCGAACGGTTCCATGCTTTAAAAGGGTGGGAGGGTATGAAGGACTCAAAAGGGGCCTGAGGTGAAGTGCTCGCGCCTCGAAGGAAGTCGAAGCAATTGCGTCCATGGTGCGAGTCCCGGGGTCTCAAATAGTCCATGTCTGGCCACCCATGAGATTGTCCGGAGTCCCTTCAAACAAGCTCATATCCACCCATGAAACTAAATCCACAAGGGCTTGTCCATTTTTAGGGAACCCCCCAAAATGGCTTCGGTTCTTTTTGGGTTTCCCTTCAAAACCACCACAAAACAACTACCCTCCCAAAGAATCTCACACCCACAAAGCCACCAGCCGTCTTCCCACGTTGCCCCCGTTTCCCCCCGCGTTTCCTTCTTTCCTTTTCCACGGCCCGTCTTCTCCCTTTTCCTCGTCGTCCGTCCGTCCAGCGTGGTGGGTCCTGCTCCGGGCTCCGGCGCTGCAGCTCGGTGGGGGGCTCCAGGTCGCTCTGCCACTGCACCGGCAAGGAGGCCTCCTTCGGCTCGATCAGCTCCTCGCGTCCGGCCCGCGTGGTCTCCGGCTTCCGGAGGCTCCCCCCCCCGCCCCCGAAACGATTTTCTCGGGGCCCCGGTGCTCCCAAGAGTTGCAAGGTCCCAGGAAGGACAAATTGAGGAGTGGGCTAGGCCCTAGTCGGACTAGGCCTCTGTAAATGGAACCAAGTGTCCTTCAAAGCCTGGAAGCTTCCATGATAACCGCTGCTTGGAACAGTCAAGGTTCTTTTCCAACTTGGCCAGCAGCCCTATATGAACCGGCATTGAGTTTGCGACATGTAAGCCGTGGTGAACATATTGTGCAGCCAATGTCATTTGTTGTAGCAATGTCTGGGGAATCATCTAGATGCTTGCGGGAAATGTAGCGAGGCTCCTGTGTTTGGTACAAACATGGTGAACATGCTGGAGTTGTGTGGAACAATTGCTGAGTTTCCTGGTTTCTGTGGTATATCTAGTGAGTCTCCAATGTCCCTCCCTGATTGACCATAGACTACTAGACACTTGGAACGAACCTCGCATGTGCTCAAAGAGTACAGCGCCAGTGGTGCCATTTGGGCTATGGATGTTTGCTGGACCAAAGGATCTATGTAAACGATGTCCGCCAAAACGACCGCAAATCTAATCCATGCCCTCATGTAATCGACCGTCGTTATGTAAGGGGCTGAATGATTGCGCGCACACACACACACTGACATTAGTCTCTCGAGGTACTCTGGCCTTACAGCCGAATTATTAATTATGCCAATTGAAGAGGAACCAATGCTCCGAAACATCCCGAAATCGCAACATCCGATGATCCCAGTATCACAGTATCCCTGTCACCTTTTCCAGTGCCCCTCTTTACGTTTCGCCTTCCGTCCCACCCAGCTTCCATCAGTCAACCAGTCTCCAAGCGCCCCGTGAAACAGGTTGCAGGCTACGCTGCGCCGAGGTGCCCGCGCTCGCCGCGCCAAGTCCTTGGTGACAGAAGGCTCTTTCACCCGCACGCAAGGGTCAGCTTGCTGCGCCCTGCTGTGGATGGTTGCGAAATCCGTTCGGTATGCATCTGACAGGCCTCGGTCAAACAACAGCTCCACGCATTCTCTGAAACAGTCGCTTAGTGTAGGCCCCATTATGTGCCACAATATCCATACTCAGCTCTGGCAGCCCCCACCCCCCCCGCGCTGGATTGCTAGTAATTTGCCGAGTGATAGTGTGTATTCTTCATGGTTTTTCAGGCACCAGAACCATGTGATCCCTATCGAAATGGACCGTCTCTTGGTTTTGCATTTGGAACAATCGAAAGCGGCGTCCGAATTCCGGGACACGACTAGTACTATGTTGGGGGATCTCCTGTTTTGAGGCACACCTGTACACATTGCACGAAACATGACCATAGGGTATGCCAAAGGGATCGGAATGACAATTTGTGCGCTTGTTTGTGTGTCTTCTCTTTGAACCCGCAAAAGTGTAGCGAGCCTAAAACACAACACACCCAACATTTAAGTATTCATGTATATATATATATACATCATATGGAAGTGAACTCTACTTGGAGACCCTTGGTGAACATCATTTGGGTGGAGATTTGTGTCCATCTGCTTTCGAGGGGCTCGCGCATTCAAAGAGTCCATAGCATCAAACCACACCCAAGCGGTTCGCCAGGACAAGGTCCCAGACCGCGCGATCTAAGCCACGGACGCTGTCATTGGAGAAGCAGGGCCCGTACTGGGGCGGAATGTCCATACCTCGGAGTCTGTGAGGTCAATCGGATTCGAGACTGATCAAAGACCCTACCCCCGAAATGGTGGCCTTCCTTTCTGTTTCCCTTAAAACTACCCCCAAAAAGGGAGCACGCACATGCAACATATTAGTGGCTAACAGTTGATTCATCAAAATCTGGTTGCATGGAAGTCTACGTTGGAAATAGTCAAATAGGCTTCTTGCCGAACCTACTTCTGGACTCAAAGAAAACATGTCAACACATGCTTTGGGGGGTCGATGTCTTCTTTTTTTCGGAGATAGTGGGGGCGAAAGGATATATGGATTCGAAATGGTGCAAAGCCCTTGAGTCTCAAAAACCTGGCCATGCTGCAAACCTTGTCACCGGGCGCGAACCCACAATACCTGTTGCATTGAGGTTTTTTAGGGGAAACACACAAACAAAGAACACGACTGGACTAGTAGATTCGCCTCCCTACCTTGTGCGGTCCAGGGCTCAGTGGGTGTAGTAGTCGCTTTTCGTGGCCATGTAGTGTGGCAGCTCCTCGTAGGCAGAAAGCCATCGATCGATGTTCTTGAACTTCTTGCGGATGTCATAACCCTTGTAGAACCTTGGAGAACATTTGGCCTCGCCTTTTCAGAGAGCCTTTCGTTGGACTGACCAGTTGAAGTGAAGCCAAACAAGGAAGTGGCGGAAAGCAATGAACAGCTGGTGTATTGATGTGAACATGAACATATTGGTGAGTGCTCTGATTCCGATACCAAAGCGACTCCCTGCGGCACCTGGCGTACAACATATGAACAAATCACTCCTCTGTGCATCTTTCAGGTGACATGTGCTCACTTCCGGCTTTCTGTTCGCATGGGCCCACACTAAATGCTGTGTGGATGAGACTTTTAGGCCAGCAGGAAAGCTACCTCCTGCACAATGTACTGGTATCACAGTCTTGCTTTTAGCTGAAAAACATATGTCCAGGCGGCCCCAATGGACGTCGTACGGTCTATTGGGTCCAAAATGGAACCTTGGTAAGTGGCAAAACTAGACTACAACGGGCGGCTTGCCCTAGCTCTTTGATTTTGAGCCACACCCTATTTGATCCAATGGCTGTTGGGTTGCCATTTGCCAGCCATTGAATTGGCTGATGGAGGCTCCAGCCTCGTGTTCAGCAGCCTGTGGCTTGTTGACTCAGACAGCAAAAAACCTTTCTGCGCCAGACTCGCAGACTTGAACGAGCATCGCAAATGTGTTGTTTACCTGTAAGGAAAGATGATGGAAAGGGAAACAGGCCAACGATTGAAACGGCTGGCAATGATATAGGCTTGTTTCGCCCTGCCACGCAGCACGCTGTCGAAGGGTAAACCTAGACAGACCAAGACATCTCCCACCAAGGAAAGCCGCCGCAAATGACCTGGGGCTGCCATGTCCAAGCGGAATTGAGCAGCTGAAAGTCGCTTTGGATTTGTCCAAACCACACCCTGGTGTTTACCTACGTGACTCATTCCGTCCAACGTGGGAAGTGAGCCGTCCGTCAGCCCCTCTTTTCAGTTTACTCACTGTGGAGGGGTTTAAGGCTATAAAAGAAAAAAACATGTATACTCAACCAAACGACCAACCCGCCAACCGACCAACCCACCAACCCACCAACAACCATTAACTGACCAACAACCACCAACCGACCAACAACCACCAGCCCCCCCAAACCCGCCAGCCAACAAACCAACCAAATCCAGCCAATAGACCACTCAGCAGCCCTGGGCTTCTGCTCAGGCACATGGCGCTGGCAACGGCTCGTTCCACATGGGACACGTACTGCATGTCCACAATGGTGGGGTGCGGGTACGGCAGGAAGAAGGGCGACTCCTTACACAAATCCATACAAAACGAAGCGGAACGGGTAGGTTCTCTACGAAAAAAAGGGGTAAGTTCCTTTGGGTGTGCATGTTTTTTAGGGGAGCCCGCCCAAACTCTGGTTGTCCTTTTGGTTTCCCTCTAAAACTCCCAAAGAAAAACCAACTATGGGGTCATCAAACAGTCTCTCTGGCTGCAAGTCAGCAGCTGAACCCAAAAGGGAGGGGCCCAAAATCCTCTGAAGACTTGCTGGTGCTCAGGAATGACCTAGGCTGTGGGAATGAACCACATGGAACCCACCAAAGATTTTTTTTTTGGGAGACGAGGACCCCATCCTTTTGCAATGCTCAGATCAACTGCTACAGGTGACCTTCACGAAATCGTTGGCCTTTCCAAACATTGATGTGTGAACCGGACATCAGTCTTATTCGGCCAATCCCTGTCCCGCCCCCCCCCCCCCCCAAACCAGAAACAACAACACCAAACATATATGTGTGACACAAAACACACAAAACACACAAAACACACAAAACACACAAAACAAACAAACAAACAAACAAACGGGAACAACGCATATCCAAGGAGCACCGTCCAAGCTTTGTTTTCCACACCCTCCCCCAGGCGATTCCATGGAAGCTCCCAGACAGCTTGTTGGAAGACTTGGTTTCATTTACGGAGGCCAATTCTTGGTTGACGTTAAAAGGGAAGCAACAATTTAAATTTTAGCAGTTAAGTGGGGATTTCCCGCTAAACCACAAAAGGAAAAAATACAAAATGTTTCCCAACCAAGAATTGGGGGAGCTTCCGGCTGTTCTGAGGGAGTGTCGACCGCCCCTCTGACCCCTCCAAGGAGCGGATCGACCCAACTCGGCGTCCACCGCTTGCAGGGTGTCGGTGAAGTCTTGCTCGCTGCCGCCGATGAAGGGCATCTCCGGTCCTTAGCGAGGGGGGCGGGTGAAGGGGGCAAAGAGAAAAAACAAAAAGAGGAAAGATAACTAAAAAAACAACATCTCTAATAAGCACAAATATCAGAAACAACACTTGCGACACAGAAATGAGCACACGTGCGCAAGTTGACAACGCCAAGCTCCTTTGGCAGAAACAGAACCTGTGGCAAAGCCGAATCTTGCTTCTGACAGGTTCCTCTCGGCTAGGGCTCAAAAAGCGCCAGTGGACAAACACCACTCGCACACGATACATTCCGCATGGACCTGCAGCCATCGAACAGGCCCTGAGTCACCCGTCAAGCGTCGCAACCCAATTTTGAAAAACTGAAATCACTCAGCGTCAAACCTAGGTGAAGTGGTTCCTTAAAACCAACTGAGAGGCAGCATTAAACATGCACATCTTGATTCCGAACTGGAACAAAACTCACAACCATCTGCGGGAGGATTTGCGGGTGTGTCTCCAAACAGGACTCCCAGGCGAAACCAACAGGAAACATAAGTGTCCTAAACAAAGGGTTCTTTCAGAGTTGTTTGTTCAGTTTAGTTTGAATAATATGATAGAAACAAATAGTTGAAGCTTTGTTAACAAATAACATATCCTGTGTTTATATGTTACAATTCAATGCCAACAAATATATGATCAAATATATGAGTTAAAGGTATCCAGTTCTCTCGCCAATACTAGGGATGTCCTAGTTAGTGTTTAATAGCTGCGCTTACTGATATGCTTAAGTTGGTGGTTTGGATAAGCTCTGAACAACCACTCCAAACAACCAATTCAAGGCTACCTGATCAACTTTTCCCTGAAAACCAGTACGACACCTACGGTTCTGCTGCAAAAGGCCGGTTGGGAGCAAGTGACTGGAAGAACCTTCGTGCGGGTTCTGACAATTCGGAAGCTCAAGGCATGAAAGGAACCCGCTTTAACAGGTCCAGGGCACACCCACATGCAGAAGGTGTCTTTTCTTCGATGTTTGGGTCCCCAAAAACTGGCTACAAGGCTACATCATGATCCTTCACCCCGTCCAATCTGCCAATAGATCCACCTTCTCGACTGCAACCTACGAGTGCCGAACCAGTACATTAGACATGGGGCTGGGTACTTTGAAGCTAGATCGAGTCATGATCATAGCCAAACCGTGATCGTTTTGCCCTTCATATCCCAGACCTCCGGTGGCCGGGAGAAACAGAAGACATTTCTATAAGCCTGAGCACGCACCACTGGAGCCCAAAAAGAAAAGCTTTACCTCCCTTGGGCCTGTTGCGTAGGGCAAACATGGGCCGTGATGTTTGCTAGGGCAACCTCAAAAGTTGTTCTTGGGCACGAATCCCTACCGTTGATGTCCAGAGGGCTCCCAATTACAACTTATGTCCAAGCTCAAGTGTGATGATATCCAAATGCGGCAGGAAACAAGAAAACAGACACATGGCAAGAAATGGGAGCAGCTCACTGGAGGTCTAGGCGGTGGCCAAAAATCTGCGTTTTGCTTGGGTCCCCGGCTGAAGAGGAAGGAGCACCAGGCACCGAACAGCTGGCGTTCCAGGTTCAGCAGGTCGCTGGCGCGCTTCTGCAGGGCCTTGTCCGTGGGGAACCTGTGCTGCTTTTGGCCAAAAAAAACGGCGTGTATGACGTGCGCTACTGTGGATGGACGAAATCCTGCACCACCGAAGAAACCGTGGAATGATGTAAACATCAACAAACAATGGATTCCCATGGTTTCAAAGTGGTGCAGGATTTGGTCCATCCACACGACCTGGTTTGGGGTTCCACTTTGTTCTTGGTGCTCCATTGGAAGGGAATGAGCAGTGGAATGACCCCGAAAAACCAACCGTCCAACTGGTGGTTTCCTGTACAGGGACCTATCCCAGCAAGTTATACCGGTGTGTCTTGTGTGTGCGCGCTTGCCATTTTGGGGGGAAGGACCGGGAAATCACGAGTAAACCCCCCGATTTTGGACACATGTCCAGATGACATGCATCAACTTTGCCCCGAAAATCCGGAAACAAATTTACAACCGTGCTCATATTCTGCTTAAGGCTTGGCGCGACCTTGCGCAAATATCTAGTGATAAACCAGTTCAACTGTCTGAGTCCCACAGGAGAAGATGAAACACTAATCCAACACTGCCTGCATGTATGCATTCCTGCAGAGATTTTACTGGACCTGGCTGGCGGGATAACTTGACTTATAAGTGTGGAGAGCACATAGTATCGCCTTTAGGGGAAAATGACCCGAAACCCAAGTGGCCATGGGGTGTAATTTCTACAGTTTTAATGGAAATCCTTCCAAGGAGTACACGGGGGCACTGGGTATTGGATAACTGGAGTCCATTTTCGGTGTGATGGTCTGCCTCTGGATGGTACTCCGATCAACGAGATGTTACTGAGACGGAAAACGGGGGTGCACTCAAGGTGTCCTTTTGGTAAAATAGATGGCCCTGGTGAATTGGCCATGGGTCAAAATCCCGTACCCCCAGTGAGCATGCAAATCCCCACTAAGATAGACTAAAATGGGTGGTGCACCTACCCCAAAATGGGATCCCATTGGTCTTGACCCACAGCCAATTGGAGAAAACCCGTCTAAACCTGCGGAGCCTATCTAAGCCAACCTAAACAGGACGGCTATTGCACTTTCCAGGCAGGTTCCCAAGCACGAGAAAAAGCCACTGGTTTGGTCTTCGGAACGCTGGAAAGCTGATAAAACTCCCGTCAGGGAATGTTTTTTGTTCTTCTTCTTTTTTTCTGAAGAAATTGGGGGCAGCCCTGAATCCCATGCCCGGTCCCTCCAAGTGAGTCTTGTCAAAACCCGGTATTAAAATGGTCTACCCAGAACCATGTAAAGAATTAAGAAGGCGGATATCCGCAACCATTTCTGGCTGGGACTGCCCCTTACTAACCGAACCATCTACCCGGGTTTTGATTGTGGCTCAAGTGGACATTGATGCTTTTGAGGGTTAAAAAATATCAAAGCACCTCTTCGTGCAACAGAGCAGCATTGGCTTGTCCGGATCTGGGAAGGTCCGTTCCTGGCAAGCGGCAGGGCTCTGAAACCTTAAGTTTGCCAACGGATTTCTCCTCAGTTGTTCAGTGACCCTGGAAAAAAAGGGAAGCCTTTTTGACGAAGACCATTTTTAGTGGGGCAGCCACCAAAAACAAGGGGGAAAAAGGGAGCCACTGAACAACTGAGTCTCAATGCAATAAAAAATGCCCCTGAGGGAGGTTCTTCGCGGAGTCACGTCTAAAAATCACACTCCTTGGTCCCTGAACCCCAGATACAAGATTCATCTTTTGGAACTGTAGGAGTTTTGGTAGAAAAGTTGATCGTGTTTGGTCGTTTGGTTTTGTTTGCTTTGGTTGTTTTGGTTGTTTTGTTTACCGTGCATTTTGCCAAGGGTTTTTTGACCGCAGCTCTGCCCCATGGTACCAACTAATTCGAGCGGCCACCGGATCTCATTGGATCGTTGCATCCAAAAGGCCTCCCCTGTGGCCCATGGGCGCACCGAGAAGCGCGAGCTGAAACGAAGCAAACCATCCTCCGAGTGTTTCTGTGGAAAAGGGCCACTCATGCAAACCTGGGATACACTGCTTGGGGCTTTGGGGAGTTTTGCCTTCCATGTGGGGGTCCCAGTTCCCATCACACCAAAAAAAACATGGAAGTGCATGGAGGCCTTGCTTTTCACAAAAGAACGATAGTCTTCCAAACGCGTCCTGTACGCTTCCATCCTTTTGACGCGAGGGTTTGATCACCATTGGCTCTTTGACGGAGGAACCGGCCCATCTAAAATGCCAAGCAATTGCATGCCAAGAGTCGATGGTAAACCTCGGATCGAGAGCCGGGTGTGTCTTTGCACCCCTGCCCTTTTGAGAGGGGGGGGGTCTACTTGAAATATATGCAGAAAGGGGTGGGTGATGTCTTTGCACGTGCCCCTTCAAACGGTATCCCCTTTGCACCGCACGTCGAGTCGGGGCCGAAGGGCCTCAAATTTGTGAGACTTCCGGCCCCAGGACGGTTCCAGGGACGCAGAGTTCAACTTATGACTTGGATAGCCCTCTCAAACGTCATGTCCAAAAAATGCCCCCTGCAAATTAGCATGCAATCCAAAAAGGCTCCCCCACCTTTATAGTGCTTTCTGTTGGTGGTACCCCGTTCTGGTACCCCTGTCTGGTCCCATTTTCTGGGTGTGTTTTAAAGGGAAACCAAAAGGAACACCACCATTTCGGGGTCTCCCCGAAAAAAAGAGGCACAGTCAAGAATGTCACTCAGGGCAACTTCCTGCGATTTCCCTCGGCTCCAACTAGGTCCTCCAGTAGAGAGGGTTAGACTAAAATTACCCAATGTTCTTTTCTGTAGTCTACTTTAGCAGTAAAAAAACCTCCCAACCAAAAAAGAAACGAGTGAGAGGTCGGGCACCAATTGCTGGACCCAGTTGGTGTATCTGAGAAACCCATAGGTCTCCTACATCTCCGCCTTCAGGGCTTCCCCCTCCCGCGACCCAAACAGGGGGACCCAGGGGTGGCTTCATATTGGTTTCCCTGTAAAACCATCTAACAAGGGGTTCCCTGAAAAAAAGACACGCCCACATGCAACGGGGGAGAAAAAACTAAGAAGCAAAAACGGAAACAACACAAAAACAAACGGAAACAAAAACAAACAAACAAACAAAAAACGGAAAGAAACGGTTTTCAGGGCACCTAGCTGGGGGGTTTTCTGCTCCAAGGTCCGGGCATGATGTCCAGGGACTCCGTCATCACCCGTCCGTCCAGCTCCATGGCCGGCAGCAGGCCCCGGGGCACCAGCGCCAAGAACTCCTTGGGCTTGTCGCCTGAGAAATCCACATGCATCCCATGGCGCTATGTCGGCTTCTTGCTGAAACTCGACGTAACTTGGCCACCAAAAAGTGAAGTCCGGAGAAATAAAAAGGAAAGGCGCCCTTCAACCATTGCCATTGCCCATCACCTGGGTCTCTTTCTCTGTGTGGGGGTACGTGCGTGCGTGGGCGCGTCCGCGGGTCCGTGTCTGTGTCTGCGCGTGTGTGCCTGTGTCCGCGCGTCTGCGTGCGTGTGGGTGTGGGCGTGTGCGTGTGTGTGTGTGTGTGTGTGTGTGTGTGTGTGTGTGTGTGTGTGTGTGTGTGTGTGTGTGTGTGTGTGTGTGTGTGTGTGTGTGTGTGTGTGTGTGTGTGTGTGTGTGTGTGTGTGTGTGTGTGTGTGTGTGTGTGTGTGTGTGTGTGTGTGTGTGTGTGTGTGTGTGTGTGTGTGTGTGTGTGTGTGTGTGTGTGTGTGTGTGTGTGCGAGAGCAAAGCGGCAACAGGGCAAACAGGCAAGCCAAGTCTGGCAGGAATTTGCGCGAAAATTGCCCCGTCCAAAGCTCTGAGTCTCGGGAGGGAAGGGGACATGAGAATATGATCAGGGGAACCACCCAGAGGGTTCCCATGAGACAGACCCAGGGTAAAAACTAAAGACAATTTAGGGCACTGATATTTGACATGGCGTCCAATAGGTTTTCCATGGCACCATGGCCTTGGTGTTCGGAAGTGTTTCACGAAAGGGGTGCAGGTCTGTGCCACAAACTGTTGCAGCTTTAAAATAATACCGACAACAAATCCACTCCACGGCAAACACACGCAACAAATGCGTCTATTCCCGGTCATTTCTAGGTCCAATATGTTCAATGTTGAAGGGTGAGGGGCGTATGGGGTTCAACGGTTTGGCCGGGTTTCCCCTGTGCAGAAACCTGCTTGGGAGTCCCGAACTCTGTCACATCTCCCTCCAGATCTGGTCTGCTCGCCAAAAGGCGAAACTATATGAACCCGTCCCATACGGATGGACAAAACCCCGCGCACTCAAGTACAGTTTCTTGGTGTATCCGAGAAACCCCTCGGGTTTCCGACATCTCAACCCCCCGGGCCCGCAAGACCGAGTCGTTGTGGTCCGAGGCACCGTAGGAGCGCATGGGCACCTTCTCCACCTCGTAGTCCACCTGCTTCTCTTCCAGCAGCAGCCACACCTTCCTCGCGGTCGAGTCGACGGGTGTCATAGCTCTCGGCGTGTGCACCCCCAAGTGCTGGGGTCCCGATGGACACATAGCGATTTCTTGCCAGCATCTTCTTCAGCTGGAACTTGCAAACTACTCCACTCCAAGCAATATCGAAAATCATGCTGCAAGGGGTCCCCAATCGATATTGTAGATTATTTGCCATGTTCAAGTAACTCCACAACCAGATATCAGTTCATGCTCAGATTGCTGTGAGCAGCAGGCGAGCCTGCCATCAAGCAGGCAAAACCAACCAACACATGTTCACAAGAGAACACAAGAAAATGGTCCTAGACGTCTGGCACACTTGACTCCAGCTCGTCATACGTGCAAAAAGCACGTTCCGGGTTCATTTGTAGATTTGTAGGGTGGGCAGTGACTTAATCTCGCCTTGGCTACAAACAAAACCATGAAAAAAATCGGGCGCTTGCCAAACACGAGCCCCCCCCCCCCCTTTTTTGGAGCCCCTTACAGCAGCGGTATTGTCGAAATATGAAGCTGAAACTGCTTTCTGATTGATCTGGTTGATTAGGGTATCAACTCAGCACCCGTAGGATACGCGGGCTATCCCTGTCACTTGCTCAACAAAGCTAACCCAACAAACCACTCTCTGTGCTCTTTGTTGCTCCATTGGGAGAACTGGGCTTATTTCCTCCTGTTTGTGTCTATGGGGTTTCATTGACGCCCCCCATGCGCCTCATGTTCAATGGACATGCTCCTAGACCCTGCTGCACGCCCCAAACGTGCAATACCTCAGGGAAACGCCCCATGTTGGCTCATCAGCTTCTTGATGGTTGTTTGGAAATCTTCGTTTTTATTCTTCGCCAGGAAAGACCCAACTTCCAGAAGCCCTATGTTCTCTCGAAACGGATGAACTCAACGTAGGCGCAAACTCGGTCGCTCGCGTGCCACCGAGGGGCTGGCAATATGGACACCAGCCCGCCTGATCCCGGAAGATCTTCACCCGGGGCTTCTTTCCTCAGCGTTGCGTCCGCTGGAGCGCATGAAGCTATGTGGAACCCGTTTGGAACCCTTGGCTGCAGACCTGGCTTGAGCGGTCCTCAAAATGTTGGGGAGCAGCCCCTTGTCGGCTCTCAAACTGTGGACCTCAGAAACTGCTGCAGACCTGGCTTGAGTGGCTCTCAAAGTGGGGTGGAACCCTTTGAGATCGAACTTGACAATGGGCCCGCGGCTCCCCGACACTTCTCGGGTCTCGGGTCTCGGGTCTCGGGTCTCGGGTCTCGGGTCTGGGGTCTCGGGTCTCGGGTCTCGGGTCTCGGGTCTCGGATCTCGGGTCTCGGGTCTCGGGTCTCGTCTCGGGTTTCGGGTCTCGGGTCGGGTCTTGGGTCTCGGGTCTCGGGTCTCGGGTGTCGGGTCTCGGGTCTGGGGTCTGGGGTCTCGGGTCTGGGGTCTCGGGTCTCGGGTCTCGGGTCTCGGGTCTCGGGTCGGGTCTCGGGTGTCGGGTCTGGGGTCTCGGGTCTCGGGTCTCGGGTCTCGGGTGTCGGGTGTCGGGTCTCGGGTCTCGGGTCTCGGGTCTGGGGTCTCGGCTCTCGGGTCTCGGGTCTCGGGTCTCGGATCTCGGGTCTCGGGGTCTCGGGTCTCGGGTCTCGGGTCTCGGGGTCTCGGGGTCTCGGGTCTCGGGTCTCGGGTCTCGGGTCTCGGGGGTCTCGGGGGTCTCGGGTCTCGGGTCTCGCGGGTCTCGGACGAATCTCGAATCTAGGGCGCGCGTAAGCGGGCGTGCTTACTATTTGGCGGGCGCAGTGCTGAGCGGGTGCACGTGAGAGGCATGTGTACAGTGCTGAGCGGGCTCGGGTCTCGGGCCTCGGGGTCTCAGATCTCGGGTCTTGGGTCTCGAGTCTCGGGTTTCGGATCTTGGGTCTTGGGTCTCGGGTATGTGTACAGTGCTGAGCGGGTGCGCATGAGGGAGCGTTTGGCAGGCATGTGGCGCAGTCTGAGCGGGCTCACGTGAGCGGGCGTGCTTACCATTTGGCAGGCGTGGGCGCAGTGCTGAGCGGGTGCAGGTGAGCGGGTGTGCTCACCATTTGGCAAGCATGTGTGCAGTGCTGAGCGGGTGCACGTGAGCGGGCGGGCGTGCTTGTCATTTGGCAGCAGAGCGAGCGGGTGCAGCTGAGCGGGCGTGTTTGCCATTTGGCAGGAGTGGGTGTGCTGACCACTTGGCAGGCATGTGTGCAGAGCTGAGCGGGCGGACGTGAGCGGGCGCGCTTACCATTTCGCAAGCATGTGCGCAGTGCTGAGCGGGTGCACGTGAGCGGGCGTGCTTACCATGCTCTCCAGCACACTTCCCCGGCACACTCCCCCGTCCGGGCACACTCCCCCGGCACACTGCCCCCGCAGAGCAGGCGCACTCCTCCAAGTACAGTGGCAGGCATGGGTGCACTGCTGGCCGGGCGCAGGTGAGCGGGTGTGCTCACCATTTCGCAGGCATGTCCGCAGTGCTGAGCGGGTTCGCGTGAGCACTGTATGCATGCCAGGCACAGGGTAAGAACACCCGTTCAAGTGCGCCCGCTGAGCATCCATGCCAGGCACATGGTAAGAACACCCGCTCAAGTGCACCGCTCAGCACTGTATCCATGCCAGGCACATGGTAAGAACACTTAGCACTGTATCGATGCCAGGCACATGGTAAGAACACCCGCTCAAGTGCACCCGCTCAGCATTGTGTCCATGCCAGGCACATGGTAAGAACAACCGCTCAAGTGCACCCGCTCAGCACTGTGTCCATGATAAGGCTCAAGTGCACCCGCTCACCACTGTATCCATGCCAGGCACATTGTAAAAACACCGGCTCAAGTGCACCCGCTTAGCACTGTATCCATGCCAGGCACATGGTAAGAACACCCGTTGAAGTGCACCCGCTTAGCACTGTATCGATGCCAGGCACATGGTAAGAACACCCGCTCAAGCGCACCCGCTCAGCATTGTGTCCATGCCAGGCACATGGAAAGAACACCCGCTCAAGTGTAGGCGCTCAGAACTGCGTGGCAGGTACATGGTAAGAACACCTGTTCAAGCGCACCCGCTTAGCAATGTCCATGCCAGGCACACGGTAAGAACACCCGTTCAAGTGCACCCGCTTAGCACTGTACCCATGCCAGGCACAGAGTAAGAACACCCTTTCAATTGCACCCGCTTAGCACTGTATCCATGCCAGGCATACGGTAAGAAACACCCGTTCAAGTGCACCCGCTTAGCACTGTATCCATGCCAGGCTGTATCCATGCACGGGTGTTCTCACCATGTGCCTGGCATGGATACAGTGCTAAGCGGGTGCACTTGAACGGGTGTTCTTACCATGTGCCTGGCATGGATACAGCGCTAAGCGGGTGCACCTGAACGGGTGTTCTTACCATGTGCCTGGCATGGATACAGTGCTAAGCGGGTGCACTTGAATGGGTGTTCTTACCATGTGCCTTGCACGCATGCAGTGCTAAGCGGGTGCACTTGAGCGGGTGTTCTTACCATGTGCCTGGCATCGATACAGTGCTAGGCGGGTGCGCTTGAACGGGTGTTCTTACCATGTGCCTGGCATGGATACAGTGCTCAGCGGGTGCACTTGAACGGGTGTTTCTTACCGTGTGCCTGGCATGGATACAGTGCTAAGCGGGTGCACTTGAAAGGGTGTTCTTACCATGTGCCTGGCATGCATACAGCGCTATGCGGGTGCACTTGAACGGGTGTTCTTACCATGTGCCTGGCATGGATACAGTGCTAAGCGGGTGCACTTGAACGGGTGTTTCTTACCGTGTGGCTGGCATGGATACAATGCTAAGCGGGCGCGCTTGAACGGGTGTTCTTACTCTGTGCCTGGCATGGGTACAGTGCTAAGCGGGTGCGCTTGAACGGGTGTTCTTACCGTGTGCCTGGCATGGATACATTGCTAAGTGCGCTTGAACGGGTGTTCTTACCATGTGCCTGGCATGCAGTTCTGAGCGACTGCACTTGAGCGGGTGTTCTTTCCATGTGCCTGGCATGGATACAGTGCTGAGCGGGCGCACTTGAGTGGCGTCGATAGAGCGCTAAGCGGGTGCAGCGCTGAGCGGGTGCACTTGAGCGGGTGTTCTTAACGCGCCTGGCATCGATACAATGCTAAGCGGGTGCACTTGAACGGGTGTTCTTACCATGTGCCTGGCATGGATACAATGCTAAGCGGGCGCGCTAACGGGTGTTCTTACCATGTGCCTGGCATGGACACAATGCTCAGCGGGTGCACTTGAGCAGGTGTTCTTACCATGCCTGGCATCGATACAGTGCTAAGCGGGTGCACTTGAACGGGTGTTCTTTCCAGTGCTAAGCGGGTGCACTTGAACGGGTGTTCTTACCATGTGCCTGGCATGGATGCTCAGCGGGTGCACTTGAGCCGGTGTTCTTACCATGTGCCTGGCATCGATACAGTGCTGAGCGGGTGCGCTTGAACGGGTGTTCTTACCATGTGCCTGGCATGGATACAGGGCTAAGCGGGTGCACTTGAACGGGTGTTCTTACCATGCGCCTAGCAGGGATGCTCAGCGGGTGCACTTGAACGGGTGTTCTTACCATGTGCCTGGCATGGATACAGCTCTAAGCAAGTGCACTTGAACGGGTGTTCTTACCATGTGCCTGGCATGGATACAGTGCTAAGCGGGTGCACTTGAATGGGTGTTCTTACCATGTGCCTGGCATCGATACAGTGCTGAGCGGGTGCGCTTGAACGGGTGTTCTTACCATGTGCCTGGCATGGATACAGCGCTAAGCGGGTGCACTTGAACCTAAGCGGGCGCACTTGAACGGGTGTTCTTACCACGTGCCTGGCATGGACTCAGTGCTCAGCATGTGCACTTGAACGGGTGTTCTTACCATGTGCCTGGCATGGATACAGTGCTAAGCGGGTGCACTTGAACGGGTGCTCTTACCATGTGCCT